TGGTTGAAGAATATTCTATTACAGTGGAACTGCTACAAGCCGCAACATTATACAGTAATTGTTCAGCCGTCTTTTCATGAGCCATGTATCAGGACCAAGGGATCAGGTAAAGGCTCTGGGAATAAAGTGACTGTCCTTTGCTGTAGACTTTGCTGTGCTAGCTCCCTTTCTGTTACATGTTTAGGGATTAATTCCCACACTTCAGAACTATTTAGTGAAAACAGTTTCCCACTGCCAACTCTTGTTCCTCTCTCTAGGTTAAGTGCAGAGATCTGCCTTCTTTATCAGCAGGCATTTGGTCAGAGTCTAGGGTCCAGGCAAAGAGCATCCCATCTGAGATAGTCACGGATCTCCAAGGACAGACTACCTGCTCAAGCTGCTGCTCTGGTTTTACCCCACAACACCCACAATTAGAACAGCTGATAACAGCGTAGCCCGGAACCGATAATTTAGAGGCCTGGGTCTCTGTTTAGAGCAGTTAACTCCAGACCTGCGGCAGTAGTAACTAGTGTCTGGTGTATGTGCTATCCAGTCAAGAACCACCAGCTTCCCCTAGGTTGCCTAGTTACTGGCAGCCTCTATACATATTAGGAGAAAAGGAGTGGCACACTGATTTACGATACAATCCGTGCCCTGTTCATAATTTTACTGAAAGTAAATCTTTTAGCTCTTTTATCTATCACCTAATAATGCAGCATAGCAACTAATCTTCCCCTCTAGAATTTCCTGATTTAATTCCCTTAACTTTCTCCATTAAGTAGTACACTGAATGTGTACTAGCCACTCGTGTGTGTGTGTGTGTGTGTGTGTGTGTGTGTGTGTGTGTGAAAACCCTTAATCTGATTTTCCGTGGGGCAAAAGAATTCTGGCCCTGGAACCTGCTAGGGCTGGAAAATTGCTAGTTTTAAGGATGCATGTGACTGGGAACGTTTGTAATGGGTAGAACGAGGGACAGTGTAGAATGATGTAGTAGAAAGAGCAAAGGAGAATTGATAGAAATGAGAAAGAAGGAAGAAGAATAAAGAAAAAGATGGACGATTCCTGTTGTGAGTAGATTTCCTACCCCTCAGATTTCTAGCCCCTCTTTTGCTGTCTGTGGCATCTTTAATTGAACCCTGAAAGAGAGTCTTAAAGGTGAAAATTTTTAAGTCCCCTAAACTCAACCTTCTTAATGCTGTGATCCTTAAATACAGTTCCTCATGTGGTGACCCCTGGCCATAAAATTTTCATTGCTACTTCATAACTAATTTTGCAACTGCTATGAATTGTAATATAAATGTTTTCTGATGGTCCTAGGTGACCCCTATGAAAGGGATGTGTAACCCCAAAGGGGCCAAGGTCCACAGGTTGAGAACCACTGTTACAGGGAATGAAAATGCTGAACCACATCCTCAGTCTTAACAGATTGGTTTCTCTGCTGATGGACTAGTGGGTTTCCTCTTGGCTGCTGTCAACACCACAAACATTGAAATAGAAGCTTTCCTGTGAATGCAGCTGTTAATTTCTTGGGTGTGTATTGAGAAATAGAACTGCTATGTTGTTACAGTCCTCCACCCATTTACAGCTCTGCTTTGTTGCCATTTCTGGAGGACTGGGCTCCATCTCCACAGTGTTTTCCTTTGAACACTGTCACTAATTCTGATGATTTTTAAGAGCCATTTTATGGCTTTCCTACTGTGAGTGGTTCATGTTAATGGCATTTTTCTTACTGTTCTTTCTTTGAGCTAAAATACACTTTCTGCTTAACTTCAGCTACCCAAAGGAAGCACTATATACTTGACCTTTTTTGTTATTATTATTTTGTGTGCCAGAGTTTGTTATTGCTGGACAATGGCCTTACTGCTGCACTGAGTCCTCACATCTAAATTTTTACCCTTATGGATCAATTATTTTGTGTCATATCCGAGATTTCACAAACAGCTTTATTTTGATTTTTTGTCTCTTATTTGTCCCTGTTAAATTACTCTTGTCCTGTCCACAGTTATAGCCACTCCCTCCAGTTCTTCATTTTCAAATTACCAGCTAGCCATTATAATTTACCTATTGTCTAGTTGGGGACCAGGCTTTCCCCACTGTTCTCTGTTCCTTTGTTTAATCATCTCGTATTACATACCCATGTCTCCATTCTTGCCCTTGAGCTTGTCAAACAGTCAGTTTTCACTGTAAATTCATGGTATCCAGGTTCAGGTGGGCACATTGGTCTTTTTATTCTGGTCATATTTGAGTGACTGTTAGAACTACCTACCTAAAGGAGTTTAAGCTTACAAATTCGTGAGCCTCAGTCTGACCAGTACTTTAGTTACCTTGTTTTGTTTGAGACAGAGTCTCAGTATGTAGCTCTGGCTGGCCTTGAACTTGCTACGTAGCTTAGACTGGGCTACCTGGGATTAAGGTTCTCACTACCGTGTCAGGCTGCCCGAAACCAGGTTTACTAGAAGAATGAACTTCACTAAAGACCTGGACTAGCTAACGTGTGTTGAAATAGGAGCGGCAGGGCTGCGTCCCCGGCACCCGGCCACCTGCATGGCTAGTTTATACCCAGAAATAATTACACGGAAACTGTATTCTTTCAAACACTGTCTGGCCCGGCTAGGTCCAGTTTCTTATTGGCTAGCTCTTACATATTGTTCTAACCCATTTCTAATATTCTGTGTAGCCCATGAGCTGGCTTACCAGAGAGGATCTTAACCTGCGTCTGTCTGGAGTGGGAGCATCATGGCGACTCTTCCTCTAACCTTCTTTCTCCCAGAATTCTCTTCTGTATACTCCGCCTACCTAATTTTCTATCCAATAAAATGGGCCAAGGCAGTTTCTTTATTAATAAGAAACTATTCCCACATCAAACGTGCACGTGTTCTCTCTGCTTATTCTCTGCTCTGATGCACCCTTACACTTGGTATCTCACCACTTCTTCACGTTTTCCCTACCAGTTATTTTACTGTTAAAGAAAACAAAAAATCCCATTTGTTTTTCATAAGCTGTCTCTTCTCTCCAGGAATGGGGTTGACCCAGGATGTAATCTTCCTTCCTTCCCTTCCTGAGAGTGTCTCCCGTAGCCCAGGATGGCCTTGGATTTGACTTGTAGCCAAGGAGGAGCTTGAGTTTGTGATACTCCTGCTCCCCACCTCTGAGGGCTGAGATTACAGGGCTGCCCCACCACCATAACATCTTATAAAATGTGGGGTGTCGATCCCAGGGCTTGTGCTTTCCAGGAAAGCAGTCCATCGCTGAACTGTTCTCCCAGGTTCCAAAGGGACTTGTACTTCCTGAATACCCTCTATCTCCTTTAGTTATTTCCCACTTGCATTGTTTTAAAATGCTTTCTCGGGGCTGGAGAGATGGCTCAGTGGTTAAGAGCATTGCCTGCTCTTCCAAAGGTTCTGGATTCAATTCCTGGCAACCACATGGTGGCTCACAACCATCTGTAATGAGGTCTGGTGCCCTCTTCTGTCCTGCAGACATACACACAGAATATTGTATACATAATAAATAAATATTTTTTAAAAATGCTTTCTCAAGAAGTATCACCTGTTCACTTTTGGCCTTTATCTTTTCTGTTCCCATGGATACCAAAGGGTTATTTCAGTTTCAGGGCCTCTTCGAAGGCCCTGAAAATGTTCCCTTTTGTAAGGCTGGAAAAAAGTAAATATGAGCTTCCTACTCCCAACAAACCTCAGTTTATTCATAAAAATTCATATGAGAGGCTAGAGAGATGGCTCAGTGGCTAAGAGCACTTCCACTCCCGAGGACCCAGGTTTGATTCCCAGCATGCACATGACAGCTCACAAGCTGGCTATAACTCCAGTTCCAGGGCGTCTGACGCCCTCTCCTGACCTCTATGGGCACCAGGCACACTCATGGTGCTCAGACACACATGGAGCCAGAGCACACAAAAAAATATTTTTTTTTTTAAAAAGCTCATGTTTGTTACAGTTTAAAGGAAAGAGATGGGACATATCTTCAGCTTGGTCACAGCTCATGGCTACATTACGACTCATCTCGGGTTGTCCCCAAAAGGCGATTTCCATAACCAGATCCCAGGCTGGTCCTCAAAACTGTAGGTTCGCGAACTAGATTTTAAGCAGCTTGGTGAAGGTAAGTAACTGAGCACTGGGAGATTACTGCAGAACCAACCGAAGAAGAGATTCTAAAAGAATTGTTCTTACACCTTACTAAGCAAGAACGACCCCAGGGTGCTGGCTAGGGCATGCCTGGTATCAGGATACTTCCCTGGTTCCAGCTGCTTTAGAAACCAAATAGGATTACAAATTGTGTGGCTACTGTAAAAGTAAAAATATTTGGTCTTACAGTCTCGGTCCGTTAAAAAACGAGGGAGAGCCCCCGTTTCCCTGCTTCCTGTACGAGTCAGCACACGCAAGATCTTGCCCAGTCACGGTTTATCTGTTCTTCAGGCATAAGGAAGGCAAGTTTTAAGCTTCAGCTTACCCATCCTTTCGTGTCTACTCTAGGCTCTACCCCAAATCATGCCCTAGCATGCTGGCGTCCCCAGAGTCCTTTTTCATGTCAAGGCTGTTCACCAAATATCTTATTTACCTGCCTCTGCTAAACAACCAACTAAGCGCCTCGGTCCACCGCCCGGAACCGAAAGGAAGGAATCGCGACTGGGCGGAACCTCCCTGGGTGGGGCCCGCGCTCCGCCGCGCCCCGGGTGGGTAAGGTGGGCACCTCTCACGGTCTGCTCAGTCCTCCAAAACCGCCACCTTCGCTCGCCTCGTGGCCACTCGAGGAACCAGCGATCCCTTGAGGGCAGAGGCGGTCTGGCCCGAGCGGAAAGGTCCCTACAAACTTAAGCCCGTAGGTGTGGAGACGCGGGCGTCACCTGACCGAACCTGCGGACTCCAGGTGAAGGGGCGGGGCGGGATGGCGCGGAGCCAATCATAGCGCCTGACGACAGCGTTCCACCAATCAGAATCAGGGAGGCTCCGGCGCTCGCGGGGCGGGCCCGGGCGGGTGAGAGCCGCCCCCTTGCAGCTGGGTGGCCAACGCCTTCGCCCAAGGGTTACTTGGTTGGAGCGGTGCTGCTGCCCGGAGCCGAGCGGACCGCAGGGCTGTTGGCAGGCGGTGCCCTCTTTCCCTAGCTCAGTTCTCTGCAGCTCTTGGCCGTGACAGGTGCTTGTGTCCGCGCCTGTCGCGGACGCATTCTGACCCCGGCCCTTCCTCTCTCTGGAGACTGCCTATGGCTGGGGACCGAGTGAGGTCGTTGCCTTGACGACGGCAGCATGCGGCCCGCGGTCCTCGGAAGCGTGAGCTTGCGGAGGGCAGAAGCCAATCTGCCTCCCTACCTGCTTCACCTAGGACCAGTAACTGCGTCCGCAGAGAAAATCCCAATACTGGGATTGCTAGTTTTGCTAGTCAGCATCTTTTAGATCTGCTAGCGAGATGCATATCACCTCCAATTTGTTTCCAAGTTGAAAACCTTTGGCTCTTTCCATGTGAAGGGTTTGGAAGACATAGTAAGTATAATACTTTTTAAAGCCCTGCTATCTCGTTTTTATTTTTATCTATAGAAGATTTCGGTCTGATTTTAACCAAAGAAAATTGGTGGTATTTGAATAGTATGCTTGTATGGCACAGATCCTAGATTACTGTAGTGCCATCGTACCAGGCTCCCTTTTTGTGTGCCACGTGATAGTCATAGATTTAAGAATGGAAGGCAAGAACAAACATAGATTATAAATAACTGAGGAAACAAGGCGTATTTTAGGCCGTGATACTTTTAAGGTATTTGTAGACAGACTCACTTGGACGAGCAAGTGTGCTCAGTGTAGTGTGTCCACATGCGCAGTTGGTTGGGAGAATGAACTTGGAGATTGTATGATACTAGCTCATGATATGTTTCAGAGCTCTGTAGACACGCTTAAAGTAATTTTTATTTTGTTCGCTTTGCATCTCCAAATATCTAGGATGCCAATTACAGTATGATTAAAAACAGTCCAGGCTATAGTTTCCAGCTATTTATATTATTGGCATTACTAACCTAAAACGTGCTCCTTTATAATATATACTTCATGGAAGGCTAAAAACTAAGCATTAGAAGGGTTTTCCAAATATAGACGTTTTACTAAAAAGTAATTAAAATTAAAGAGATTTTAAAATGCCAAATATATGGAAAGCCAGTGCCTGGGACACTGGAAGTAGGTTTTAGTAGAGTCTGATACCCAAACCGAAATAAACTAGTGAAGGGTTTCGGATTTGATGTTCCTGGGGATTGCTTTCATTCCCCCATCACTCTACGTTTGCAGTTTGCAAATCATGGGTGCTGGATGGTGTCGTTCATTGGCAGAAAAAAAAAAACACCTTCTTAGCCTGTTGGAGGCCTGGGTTAATTCTCTCTCTCTCTCTCTCTCTCTCTCTCTCTCTCTCTCTCTCCCTCCCTCCCTCCCTCCCTCCCTCCCTCCCTCCCTTCCTCCCTCATCTCTATCTCATAAAACCTCAAACTGTTAAATATCAAGAGTTGGAAATGTAATATATACTTTGGATTATTGTAATTTCCTAGAATAAAAAAGACAGTGGTTTTTTTTTTTTGTATGTTTGTTGGTTTTCCCTTTGCTCTTCATATGCAGATAGAAAAGGCACTAAAACATCAGCGGTCTTTACAGTTTTAGCTTCAGATCGTCATAGTACTCCATCAGTATTAAGAGGAAAGAATCGTTTTTGTTTCACAAGTTTGGTGTTTTGTATGGTCAGGCTTTAAAAATCCAACTATGAGTCATTTGGATATAAACTTACCTAATGGCTAAGCCCTTTCAAACCCTGTAGAAACCAAAGTAGGATCTGGAGCAATGTTTTTTATTCATGGCTACTGGAATTTAAATTTCAAAAACCAGGCTTAAAAACAAATAAAATTTATCCTGGACATGGTGGCATACTCTTTTAATCCTAGCACTTGTGAGGCAGAGTCAAGTAAATTCTATATAGTATATAGAATATTACTATATTACACCATACTAAGCCCACATTCTACCACTGAGCAACATTTCCAGCCTAAAAATAATGATTTTTTTCTGTATTAAAATGTGCAATATGGAAAAAGTTGATTACTGGATTTTCATCTATTATTGATAAAATAAGAAGATTCCATTTATGATTGACTTTATTCAGAAAATGCCTTATAATGAGATAAAAGAATCCTGGTACAGAATTTAAGTCTAATATAGTAATTTAATCAGTATATAAGAAAAGCAGAGAAGGAACTTGTGACATGGCTCAGAGCTTAAGAGCTCTGGCTGGAACCTGGCGTTGGTGGCCCATACCTTTATCCCAGCACTTATGAGGCAGAGGAAGGCAGAGCTTTATGAGTTCAAGACCAGCCTGGTCTACAAAACGAAACAAAGCCCTGACTGCTCTTCCAAAGACCAGGGCTCAATTCCGAGCATCTCCATGGCAGTTCACTCTACCCGTAATTCCAATTCTAGGGGGTCTGACACCCTCACACAGACACACATGCAAGAAAACACCAGTGCACTAAAAGGAAAAAAAAAAGGAAAAAAGCAGAGAAAATTTATTAAAGATTCAGCCTTGATTCAGTATATGGAAACAGGATTTCTCTTTTTAGCTCTGGCTGTCCTGGAACTTGCTTGTAGACCAGGTTGGCCTCGAACTCACAGAGATTTGCCATTTTCTGCCTCCCAAGTGCTAGGATTAAAGGTGTGCACCACCATGTCCAGTAGTTACCTATTTTTATTTTATTTGTATGAATGTTTTCTCTGCACATACATATGTGCACCAATATGCATGTCTGTGCCTAATGCGTATAGAGGCCAGAAGTGGATGTTGAGTCTTCTGAAGCCAGAGCTATGACTGTGATCCATTGTGGGGGTTTTGGGAACCAAACCCAGGTCCTCTGGGAGAGCAGTACATGTTCTTAATTGCTGAGCTGTCTCCAGTCCCAGAATAAAAATTTTTGATTTTCATGAAAACCAAATTCAGTTGTGCCCTTTCCATCTCTAAGTAAAAAGGATCGTGCTTTGTGAACGTGTTTTGAACAATAGCTTGTTGCTTCACATATTTAAAAATAATTTATTTTTTAATATGAATTTATACAATCTAAAATGTAAGGTTAGTGGTTTTGATTCCTTTGCATTGTTTATTTTAAGTTACATAAACATTTTGAATGCTTAGCTTAGTGTGGGAATGGTAAGAAACTGTGATAGGTTACAGATAGCTGTGAACCTAGTGACTTGCTGTAACAAGGGAAACAATTTCCCAAGAGTGAATTTGCTGGGAGACTGGAGGAAATGGACTCACTTAGCATTGTTAATGCTATCCTTTGGTTTCCACAGCAAGAAAAATTCCTACTGGTTTTAAATTACAATGGAAAAATATGAGAACCTAGGATTGGTTGGAGAAGGGAGCTATGGAATGGTGATGAAGTGTAGGAACAAAGACAGCGGAAGAATTGTGGCTATTAAGAAGTTCTTAGAAAGCGACGATGACAAAATGGTAAAGAAAATCGCTATGCGAGAAATCAAGTTACTAAAGGTAAGTGCATGCATTGAACTGAAGATTATATGTTATTACCTCTGTGTATTTTAATTCTCTGTATTGTTAGGTATGCATAGTTGGCATTTATTGGGATATTTTAATATTATCTTTTGCCAAGCAGTGGTGGCGCATGCCTTTAATCTCAGCACTCGGGAGGCAGAGGCAGGAGGGGCTGGAGAGACGATGTGGCTGGCAGTCATGAGTGCTCACCACTCTTCCAGAGCCCTGCACTGGGTTCCAGCACTCACGTCAGGTGGCTTCAAGCTACCTGTACTTGCAGCCTCAGGAGTGCTAATGTCTTTCTCAGGCCCTCACCAACATGCTCACATACATGAACTACACTCAGACTGAAGCATGAATAAATAATCAGTAAGTAAAAGAAGAAATAATTTACCTGAACATTTGGTTGTTTTCCCTTTCTTATTTATCATCTTCAGTTTTTAGGGTTTCGTTGTCTATTTCCATTTTGTAGTTATGTTATAGTATATAGTTCAGGGTGACTATATCTGTGTATATATTCGAGGCCATCCTGGTCTACAGAGCAAGTTCCAGGACAGGCTTCAAAGCTATAAAGAGAAATCCTGTCTTGAAAAACCAAACAAAAAATAGAAAACAAAAACAAACAAACAACAAAAAAGACTTCAGTCAGTTATGATGGTGCGTGTTTATAGTCCAAGTACATGGGAAGCTCATCCAAGAGGATCAAGGCTACTTGAATCTCTGCTTGAAATCCTTTATTTTCTTTAAAGCAGATTTGTTAGCAAGGAATGCTGTTCATTTTTGTCAGTATGAAAAATATTTTTGTTTTACTTTGTTTTTGAAAAAAATTATCCACAGAAAATAGAATTCTTTGAATTAATTACATTATGTTCAAATTTTGATTCCACTGTTCTGCTGTCTCAGTGTTCCTGTGAAAAGTTAAGTTAGCTGTCTGTTTTATTGCACTTTTAAAAATAAAGATTTATAGCTGAAGACAGATGCTTAAAGGAAATTCCACACTAGCTCAGAATTGAGTACAATAGAGGGTTATTTATTTAGGGGTAGACTCACAGATTACAGTCCTCTGCACAAGTGGGGAACAGGAACCAAAAGAGAGGCCGGACGCATGCTTTACCTTGGCATATATAGTGTAAGAGGCCACACCCATGTGGGCCGGTAACTTAAAGGCTACTGGCGGTAGGAATTCCTACAGCACACAGCCAGGTACTGTAGCACACGCCTGTAATCCCAGCAATCCAGGGGAGAAGGCAGACGGATCTCTCTGAGTTGAGGCCTTCTGGTCTGTGTACTGAGTCCCAGGACAACCAGACCTATGTAATAAAGATACTCTTTCAAAAAATAAAATAAAATGTTTGCTTCCTGCTTCATAGCCATGATACCCCATGTGTATAATGTTTGTTCCTGTGTAAAACGGATAAATTGCCCATTTTCAAAACTGTACTTTTTTTTTACTTACATACAATTTGAATGGCTGTCATATTACTTGACCACGTAGGTGGTAACGGTTTTCATTTGTATCCGATGAGTGTCAATCTGCCATTTGTCTTACTCTTCTCAATAGCATTGGTGAATAGATCTCGGAATTCCCACCTCTTCCATCTGTCCCTCCCTCCCTTCCTTCCTCTTTCATGTTAGAGATGAACCCAGGACCTGGCTCATGTTGGTTAAGTTATCTGTTACTGAACTGTGTCCTCAGGCCCTTGCATGTTTTTAGTTTTATGGTAATATAATACTTTTGGAGCAGCTAATGGTAAGAGGTTCATTTAGGGGAGGGGACAGGATTTTGCGGGGGGGGGGAGTAACAGAAATCCACCATGGTTCCTAGCCGTTTCTTTGTGTCATAGGGCTGAGTATAGAATTGAATTCTGTTAACCTTAATTTCTCTAAATTTGTAATTTCCGATTTTTTACCTAATGAAATTCTTTCTTTGTCTGATAGATTCTTTCCAGCAAGTGTCTGTGTGGTTGTTACTGTCTCCCTTCCCTTGTTAGTCTTTGGTGCCATTCGGTTCTGAGGATGCTTTTTAATGTTTTTTTTTTTCTCTTTGACTTTATTGTGATCTCTGAGCGGAGGAACAATAAGCTCTTTGCTATTTTAGAGCTCAAATGTTCTTTTACAATATGCACTATATGCATTGTATTTACATATTTCTCATACTAGCACCTTTTAAAGAGAAGTTAATTGCTCATAACTTGGCCTTCTAAAATTATTTTGCATTTTTTATAACAGCAACTGAGGCATGAAAATTTGGTGAATCTGTTGGAAGTATGTAAGAAGAAAAAACGCTGGTACCTAGTCTTTGAATTTGTTGACCACACGATTCTTGATGACTTGAAAGTATTTCCAAATGGACTAGACTATCAAGTAGTTCAAAAGTATTTATTTCAGATTATTAATGGAATTGGATTTTGCCATAGTCACAATGTAAGTATTATGATGCCTATTTTGCAAATCTTTGACTATCTAGATACTAGTAACTTAGTTTAATGAGATAGTTGTTTTGAGTTTGAATTAGTAACATGATTGAAATGAATTATATTATTCCGATATTGCTGAACTTCATGTGTCATATGACACATGAAAAATTTCTAAAAGATGGTATTTCTAAAAAATGGTAGGCCTGTAATGGTTTAGATAAAAGCGGCGAAGGTCCCTGAGGGGCGGCAGCAGACAGGCAAGGGGTCCACCACCTGAGGCCTCTGTGGGTCCTAGGTGGGTGGGAAGCAGCGGGTGAGAGACAGAGATGAATAGGCATGCCATGCAGAGTGGGTATTTAATTAGTGGGTTATGGAGGGGGAGGGAAAAGAAGGGGGAGAGAAAAAAAGAGAGAGAGAGAAATGGGGGGAGAGAGGAGAGGAGACCACAGCCACCTATTTTGGAAGAGAGATGAGCAGAGAGCAAGCAGGTTAGAAGCAGAAGAAAAATCCGATTGCCTCTGTGGGCACAAGGGAGTGGAGTGGGTGGGGCTTGTCTCTGAAATGGATAGGACAGACCATTACAAGTACTTATTAAAATGTTGAAAGGGTACACAACAGACATCCTATTCTCAGTAGCTATATTATGCATTTAATAGTTGGTCGTAGTTATTTATAGTCTGTACACTAATTTTATAATCTCTGTTTATCTGTTAATTTATTAATGTCTAATACTGATGTATTTAAAGTAAGTTGCAGACATTAGTAACCTTTTGTACACGAGTTGATTGACTGTGCGTGTGCCCATGTCACAGTGTACAAACTTGCAGGAGTCTATTTTCTTCTACTGTGTAAATCTAGGGAATTGGTTTTAGGTTGTCATGCTTGGTGGCAAGTGCCTTTACCCATTGAGCCATCTCTCTAGCCCTGAAAAATGCTAGAATACTAAATACTTTACTAATAAACTAGACTTAAACATTTGTTCATTGGCCATTTTTCTTTTTCTTTTTTTCCCTTCCTTCCTTCCTTCCTTCCTTCCTTCCTTCCTTCCTTCCTTCCTTCCTTCCTTCCTTCCTTCCTTCCTTCCTTCCTTCCTTCCTTTCTTTCTTTCTTTCTTTCTTTCTTTCTTTCTTTCNTTCCTTCCTTCCTTCCTTCCTTCCTTCCTTCCTTCCTTCCTTTCTTTCTTTCTTTCTTTCTTTCTTTCTTTCTTTCTTTCTTTCTTTCTTTCTTTTGTTCAAGACAGGGTTTCTCTGTAGCTTTAGAGCCTGTCCTGGAACTAGCTCTTGTAGACCAGGCTGGCCTTGAACTCACAGAGATCTGCCTGCCTACGCCTCCCAAGTGCTGGGATTAAAGGCGCCTGCCACCACCGTCCGGTGGCCATTTTTCTTTCTAATGTAACATTTGCTGAGTGGATTAGGAAAATTTGAAGTATATACCAAGTAGTATATGTTTTGCTGACTCATGTTTTTTGCCTACTTGTGAAGTATGAGAGTATGAAAATCTCTGTTCTTCTCATCTAGTCTATAGCAACATTTTTTTTGTCTGTTGAATGTCATAGAAAAGCACTTGCAGGACATATGCTTTTACAGTTTTACAAAATATTTTATATAAAACCTCTTTGTGATTACACTTATCATGAGTGATAGTGGTGTATAGTTTGAAAACTGAGGACAATCCGTTGGTAGAGTCCTTGCCTAGTATACACAAAGTCTTGGGTGTGATTCTGAGCACCATAATCCAGTTATGGTGTACATTTCAGGAATCCCAGCACTTGGGAGGTAGAGTCCAGGACAGTTGGCTAAGTAGCAAGTTGATGAAACTCTTCTCTCAGTAAATATATGAGAAGGGACTGGAGAGACAATGTCGCAGTCATGCGTGCTCACCACTCTTCCATAGCCCTGCACTGGGTTCCAGCACTCACACCAGGTGGCTTCAAACTACCTGTACTTCCAGCCTCAGGAGCGCTAATGCCTTTCTCAGGCTCTCCCCAACATGCTCATATACACATACATGAACTACGCTCAGACTGAAGCATAAATAAATAATCAGTAAGTAAAAGAAAAAATAATTTACCTGAACATTTGGTTGTTTTCCCTTTCTTATTTATCATCTTCAGTTTTTAGGGTCTTCTTGTTATCTACTCTCATTATGTAGTTCAGGGTGAATCTATCTCTGTATATATATAGATATATTTCAGTAGAGACATCTAGTTTAATTTGGACCTAGGGAAATAATTGGCTTTCCTCGTGAATCCCCTAAATCAATGATCCACTCTCAGAAAATTGATTTTTGAGAAATACAGTTTTGACATTGTTTTTATAATGAAACTTCACATTAATCAAGCTTAGGAAACTGAATGCCAGCTTAATAAGTCAGAGATATGTTGTCATAGGAACAGACTACATGATATATAATTTGTTGGATATGCAGGAATTGGATCAGTATGAAGTTTTAACATATTAGTAATTTTTCTCATTGCTGTGACATAATCTCTGATCAAAGCAACTTAAGGAAGGCTGGGCTGATCTGGTGCACATTTGAGAGTACAATCCATCGTGGCAGGGAAGTCGTGGTGGCAGGAAGGGAGGCGGGCAGCTGGTTGCATTGCATGGCAGTCAGTGAAGCTGGTGCTCAGCCTGCTTGTCCCTTTGACTCAGCCCAGGACCCCAGCCCACGGAATAGTGTCCCCCATGTTCAGGATAGGTCTCACTTCAGTTAAATGTCTCTGAAACTGACCTCATGTCAGCCAAAGGTTTGTTCCTTCAAGTTGATAGTTAAGACTCACTTTGATAAATCCTTCTAATGAAAAGATAACCTCTCCAGTACCAAATGACCAGCTCTAAAAAAATACAGACTAAATAGATTGTATTTAGAAATACATTTTTATATAACAACAGCCAATGATTAAGGGGCCCCAAATTTGATAGCAAGGAGGATTTATAATGTAGAGATTGAAGAGATGAAAAGAGGGAAACTATATACTTACAGTTTTAAAAAATTAGAATAAATAATTAAAAACAAAGAGAAAACAGTTTCTTCCCAGTGAGTCTGAAATGCTTAGCTTTGGGTGAGTGCACTCTATGTTCATCCTGTCCTAAGAGTAGGATGACCAAGGAAGTTAGCATATGGTGACATCATTAGCTGGCTTGCTCTCTCTCTCTCTCTCCCCTATCTGTCTCTCTCTTTTGGAGACAGGGTATCTCTGTTTAGCTCTGGCTGTACTGGAACTCACTCTGTAGACCAGGCTTGCCTCGAATTCAGATCCATCTGCCTCTGCTTCCATTGTCTTGCTTTCTGTTGAAGAATATTTCGGTGTATTCTGCTTATACATGCATTTCTGTCCCTTTATTTTTATATCCTTATGACTGATCAGCCTATATGTAACCATGCAGCCTGTCTTCAAGGTACAGTGTTTAATATTTTAATATTGACTGTCTCTACATTTAGAGCGTTTCTGTATCTATACAAAAGTTTTTTGTTTTCTCTCATTAAACTTGTTTTGTTTAAGTGGTTCTCAGCCTGCAGTTCTCGACCCCTTGGGGGTTGAATGACCCTTTCATAGGAGTCTCTGAAAACCATCAAAAAACACAGATATTTACATTATGAGTCACAACTGTAAAGTTACAGTTATGAAGTAACAATGAAAATCATTTTATGGTGGGGAACATGATAAAGTGCATTAAAGGGCTGCAGCACTGGGAAGGTTGAGAGCCACTGGTTTACAATTCCCATTTTAAAATGGGCCTCAAAATTCTGTCACAGATTTTTGGTCAAGTTGTTTCCATTAAAACTGTTACATGTGTGCAACACTCACACATGCACAAACACAAAATGGTCTGTAAAACACACTCCTTTTGCATGGGCAAGGATAGAAGGGGAGAGGAGAGGAAGGAAGGAGAGTAGAAAAAAATATAGTTCAATAAAAACAATAACCCCCCAAAACCAAAAAGCACAAACAAACAAACAAACACCACGCTCCTTTCCTTAGGCATTTCATGAAGTTAGCGCTATCTTCCAGCTTCCTGCCAGAATGGCGATCACTCTTCTTTAAACTCCGCAAGCTGTAATCTGTGAGAACTGTATGACAGTGCAGTGCAGGGGCACAGCGCTCATTTGACCCGGGGGTCCAGATAGTCGCCTGAGCCGGGAAGCCAGCTGCTTCCGTTGGTGCGTCGTTTTTGCTGTCACCAGCAACATTGCTGTGTCTAACATATTTGAGAAACGCATGCTTGACATTGAAGCTCACACTGTTCTCAGGAAGAGAACACTCAAAGTCTCATTGTCATATCAACAGACCATGCTTCTGTTGTGACATTGACTGAAGCAAAGGTTCAGTGTTTGCTTGACCCACAGGGACAGTAACCATGCCACCAATATCATAGACATCCTGGAGGGCCAGTTGCAAAGCTGCCATCAGTGTGGTCCCACTGGCACTGCCATCTTTCTGGGTGACATTCTGTCCCTGAGCTGAGGTGTATTATAGCGCTTGGCTCAGCACGTCGTCACCATTCCAACCAGAAATTGGTACAAATGCTATACTGGTCCGGGTTGTAGCCAATTTCCTTTTTTAAAATTAATCTTTACATTTATTTTACATACCAGCCAGTTTCCCTCCCTCCTCTCCTCCCAATCCCTCCCTCCACTTCTTTTCTACATCCCCATCCACTCCTCAGAAAGGGTAAGGCCTCCCATGGGAGTCAACAAAACATGGCATATCAAGTTGAGGAAGGACCAAGTCCCCCCACCCCCACCTGCATCAAGGTTGAATGAGGCATCCCATCAGAGGCTATGAATAGGTTTCAAAAAGCCAGCTCATGTACCAGGGTCAGACCCTGGTCCCACTGCTAGGGGCCCCACAGACCAAGCTATGTAACTATCACCCACATGCCAACTCCCTAGCTGGAGTCTGTGAGCTCCCACATGCTCAGGTCAGCTGTCTCTGTGGGTTTCCCTGTCATGGTCTTAATTCACACCCCTCCCCCACTGCATATATAATTCCTACTCCCTAGCCAATTTTCTTAATGTAGGTGCTGATTTCCTTAACATTACTTCCCATCTCTTCTGGCTATGGGGTGGCTCAGTGGAATCTATTTTGTTGACACCAACAATCAGCTGATTGATGCCCAATGTTTAAGCCAGAAGGGCATGCTCAGTGGTCTGCCCGTTCTTAGAGATACCAGTTTCAAGTTCACCAACATCAGCCATAACAATCAGGACAACACAGTCAGCATGAGCTTGGCCTGTAATCACGGTATTGATTAAATCTCTGTGTCCTAGGCCACCAATGATAGTCACACCGTAGTTGCTGGTCTCAGACTTCTGCAGGGAGATGGCAGTAGTTATTGCAGCTCTCATGCAGCTTCAGTTTGCCCCAGATGCAGGTGCACTTGAAGGAGCCTTCTCCTGCTCGGCAGCCTCCTTCTTAAACTTTTCCGTGGTTTGTTTGCCAATTCCACCACATCCGTAGATCGGATGGCCAGTCCTGGAGGCTTGGCTGACTTCGCATGTCCAGCAACGGCGATGTTTCTATGAGTCTTTTTCTTTCCCATTTTGTCTTTGAATTAGTGGTGTTCTGATGCAAACCAGTAATGAAAAAGAAATGTTCATTTTTGAGGAGAGAATGGACCTCACTCTAATTTATGAGTTCCATCAAAGCAGTAACATTTCCTGAGGTCACACTGCTTTTTCCTACTCCACTCGCAAATTCTCCTAGGTTATGTTTCTGTACCCTGCTTTCTCCTTACACTCCTGTACCTCTACTGCCTATTCCCAGCCCTCTCTAAGTGGAAACTATCATAACACCCATTTCAGGGGGTTGTGTGTTAAAAAGTTTTAAAGTGTGTAAAACTTCATGTAGTGCCTGACACATACGTGGCCAAGTGGTTGCTAACATATTACAATATTAAAAAATCTATCATAAAGCTTATCTCTTCCATAAAAATTTTCCTTGACTACCCCTAATCTTCAACAACATGTTTATTTCTTGGTCTTGACAGTAGTAATTGACTGAAAGTTGATTTGATGGTTAATGATACGTATTTTATCTAATATCTTGGCTGGTTTAGCTAATCCTTGCAGCATGGATGTTCTCTGTTGCCTCACTAGTGTCGTACTCTGAGAGGAACAGCAGTGGCGCCCTGCTCATGGCAGGCACCCCCCCCCATCAATTCGTTAACATATTTTATGCTCTGTGTGTGTTTTGTCTTAGATCATACACAGAGACATAAAGCCCGAGAACATACTAGTCTCTCAGTCTGGTGTTGTGAAGCTATGTGACTTTGGATTTGCACGGACGTTGGCTGCTCCTGGGGAGGTTTACACTGACTACGTGGCCACCCGGTGGTACCGAGCTCCAGAACTGCTGGTTGGTGATGTCAAGTATGGCAAGTAAGAGTCAGGAATGAGGGCTCAGATGCGGAGTCTTCAAGAGTGGGATGTGTCTGTAATGAATGACCCACTTAACACTGAAAAGCAGGCCTGGATTCAATTTTTAGTGAGTGGTTTGTAACAATCCCTAGTACATTCCCTTTGGAAGTTCTTTTTAAAATTTCCTTTGAGGGCTGGGTAGCTCAGTGGAGTCCTTGCCTGCTGCAGTGAGATCCTGGTTTTACTTTACAGGATGCCAGGACAAACCAACAAAAAGCTAGTGATATAACCTGAGGTGGATATACTTACTTTAAAGGGAAACTGAGTTATTTGAATGGTCAGAAAGAAATGTTAGTGTCTGGAGGGATGGTCCAGCAAGCACAGAGGGCACCTGAGTTTCCAGCACCCACTCTGGTGGCTCACACAACTGCCTGCAACTCCAACGGCAGGAGTGATGCCTCTACTCTCCTTGGGCACCTGCACTTACGTACACGCCCTCATCACGTGCACTTAGTTTAATTAACAGTTAAGCAGGGCGGGGCAGCGCACGCCTTTCACCCCAGCACTCGGGAGGCAGAGGCAGGTGGATCTCTGTGAGTTCGAGGCCAGCCTGGTCTACAGAGTGAGTTCCAGGACAGGCTCCAAAGCCACAGAGAAACCCTGTCTCGAAAAAAACAAGGAAAAAAAAAAACTTAAAAAAAGAAAAAAGATGTTCAAACTCTAAGTTTTCTTTATAAGAGGGGAAGACTATAAATTTTACTTTTGGCAGAAATTTTCCTAAAACATTTTCTATAATTTTTGATGACATTAGACATCCAGTAATCTTTTTTGAATTATTGAGTTTTCATTTTACTTCACTGTTAGAATTTTTGTAGTATTTTATAATTCAGCCATGACTGGGCAACTTCAGAGGCGCTGGCTCTATGCTGGCACATTATTTTAGTTCTGACTAATGGTTACTCTGTATCAGTGACCACTTCTTTTCTCTGCTGTGCTTTGTTTAGCATCCTGAGAACTACACTGAGAACCTTGTTAGAGTGAGTGCTGAAGGGATGGAGGGAGCACAGGTGCTCAGTGGCACTGCAGAGCCTTATTTTCAGAATAAAGGACACATAGCCAGTGTGACTTTTCAGGATTTTTCTCTCTTAATAGCAGATGGTTGAAGCTTCTAGGTGTCTCACATATTAAAATAGAGGGTTTGAATTCTTATAGAGAAATGACTTTAAGTGACAAGGTTTACTTCTGTGCCTCTCCGTGCCAAGAAGATGCAGGCATGGGGAAGGTGTCAGGATGCCACATCTTACATCACCTTGCTTTTTTTCCAGGGCTGTTGATGTCTGGGCCATTGGTTGTCTGGTCATTGAAATGCTCATGGGGCAGCCCCTATTTCCGGGAGAATCTGATATTGATCAGCTTCACCATATCATGACATGTTTAGGTAAGAGTGTACATCTGTGATTTAAATTTTACAGTTTTTTCTCTGTGTGTTTATTGTTATGATACCTTAAAGATGATGCTTATTTATGCCAGGTGGTGGTGGCTTTTAAGGCCTTTACAGTAGCAGGTCTGTCTATCTAGGCTGATCTTGCACACAGAGTCCCTCTGTCTTTACAGTAGCAGGTCTGTCTGTCTAGGCTGATCTTGCACACAGAGTCCCACTGTCAGTTTACTGCTTTCACTGCTTCCCTACGTCACCGTCTCTGCACCATTTCTGTCGACTATTACTGATGAAGATGGATGCTGGGTTTTTCCCCAGGTAATTTAATTCCAAGACACCAGGAGCTGTTTTATAAAAACCCCGTGTTTGCTGGAGTAAGATTGCCTGAGATCAAAGACATAGAAACAGAACCCTTGGAGTGCCGCTATCCCAAGCTCCCTGAAGTTGTAATAAATCTAGCAAAGGTAATTGTTCTTTTCCTTCTTTGTGATAGGAAATGTGTATAGTGTGGAGACTTGGTTCGCGCATGTGCTTCCCTCCCCTCCCTCCCTTCCTCCTTCCCATTCCCCTTCCCTACGTGATCTTTTAGGTCAACAGTTTCCTCAGATGATTTTAAATTTGTTCCTTGGACAGACCGCTTCTTGGGAACTTGTGTATTCATTTACACCTGCAGACATTGAATGCTGGTCTCGTTTGTGACATACCAACCACTGATGGCCACTGTTGTGATTTGTGCTGTTTTCTGTTCATTGGGTAGAAAGAAGAAATCTAAAAGTAGACAGCTGTTCTTGAAGAAGACTTGTATATGTTCTTGATTTTTCAGAAATGCTTGCATATTGACCCGGACAAAAGGCCCTTCTGTGCTGACCTTCTACAACATGATTTCTTTCAGATGGATGGATTTGCTGAGAGGTACGGTACCATAGTGCCGGCCTCTGCTCTGCAGGCCATAGGAGCAGGGTCACAGGGAAGTCTCCTGCACAGTCTCAGTGTCGCATTTGTTACCGCCACCCTCGCAGGGCGTCAGTTATCTGTGGCCTGCTCCATTCACCCGTAGCGGTAGCGTAATTCCTAAGGAGTGGTTTCCTGTGTGCCTAGAGCTGCAGGTTTTCATGGAACAGTCTCTTCGCATTTCTTCTTCTGTCTTCTGAGATGACGCCTACCATTCTGCTCACTAATTACTATGTTGCTGCATCTGCGCAGTTGCCATCTCCTGTTGCTGGCAGACTCATGCCACACCTGGTCCAGTGCTGCTGGCATGGCTCCCAGTGCTGCTCCAGATGTTAGCCTTGGCTCAGCTGACTGAACAAGAACCAGAAGAGTGACTGTGACAGTGCTGTTTACCTGTTATATATGCACAACATAAATGTATATTTTTATGTCTTTGCATGTATATCTGAATTGTGTGTGAGCACATGAATGGATGTGCTCTTGGGGGCCTGAAGAGGGCAGCAGATCCTTAGAACTGGAGTTATAGGCATGGTTTCCAACATGGGTTCTGGGAACCAAACTCAGGTCCTCTGCAGGGTAGTCATTGCTCTTAACCTCTGAGCCATCTCTCCAGCCCACAGTGCATTCTTAGTTGCTGAGTTATCTTTCCAGCCCTAAAGCTTCATCATTTTACAAATCTCTTTAAAAATCTAGCTTAATAGACGATATCTGGATTCTTATATTTGCTTCTATAGTCATTAGTGAACACCATAGTATGTTATTTTAGTTGAACAAAACAAATGTATCTCTAGAAAAGTGGAAAAGTGTTTTAATAGTCTTTTGAGGTAACTTAGTATTCTTTGATTCTATGTCAAACTTTAATATTATACCAAAACCTGGCATTGTTAGTTTCCTCCTTTTCTTCCCCCTTTCTTCCTTCTCTCCCTTGGTCCCTTTCTTATTTTTAATATTCGAGGCAGGGTCTTACACTGTACTTCTGGCTGATCTGAAGCTCACTATGTAGCCTAGGTTCCTCCCAAAGTCAGTATTCTCCTGCCTTGGTCCCCCTTCCTCCTGTGTGCTGGAATTTACAGGTGTATGACACCATGCCCAGCTCAGCTGTTGTAGTTCCATTATTTAAAATTGACCTTATGTTTATTTGTTTGTATGTATGTGTGTGTGTGTGCCTTTGTCTGTCATGTGTGTGTGCCCATAGATGCAGAAGATTGTGTTAGATGCTGTGGAGCTGAAGCTATAGGCAGTTGTTAGCCACGTGGTGTGGGTAATGGGAATTGAGTGTGTTTTGGGAAAAGCAGCAAGCACTCTGACTGTTGAGCCATCTCTCCAGTCCTCTGTAGTGCTTTCTAAAGGACTGGTTGCGTTGTGAAATTTAAAGTAAGCCAATGACTTTTTCTTCTCTGTTGAATAAAATCCATTTTTGTCTGATCTTCTGAATTCATGTTTTATCTGTGCATGCTTTTATGACATACTTTCATCATTTGAAGCACATTGGCAACACTGAATTATGTGAACTTTAAAAATGTTGGTATGTCATAATATAATATCAAAAATTATGCTCCATTTTTATCAGAAAACTTTTGAATTATGGGAAGACCTCTAAGATCCCAAGTTAATAGAGTTGTAATTTCTTACATGAAAGTTTGAATTTTATTGTTTATAGAAATATTATTAGTTTCTTTCCTTGCAATGACTACCTCACCTTGTTCATTTTCAAAGCAAAATGTCTGCTACATACCCATCTAAATAAGCATGGCTTTTCAGTTAGTCTTTCAAGTGTAAATAGTACATGGAAACTTGTGTGGCGTGACCTGTGCTCGGGTAGCCAGTCATTCACGTGCTCTTTAGTCAGCCACTACAGACCCTAGGCGTCTCTCTTCTCATCACACAGAATCTGAAAAGAGGTGTTCACGGGTTCGTTTCATTTAATAAAATTAACCCTTTCATTGCTTTATTGTGAGCATCCATAAGTGACTCCCCCCACAAACACTCTGTGTGGCTGTGAGGAGCGCAGGAGTGCTAGCCTGGGTCAATGCAGGTGTCTCAGTTCTTGGTGGGATGCCAGCAGCCTCATCCACATTGTTTGCCACCATCAGGACCAGTGTTTAGGGTGGTCCAGACATTCTCATGCTAAGACTCCTGAAAGACTCTCCCACACCCAAAGGCTTTTAAGAAACTGGAATGTGATTTTTTTCATTTTAAATAAAATGGATTAGGTTAACACTGAATCTTAAATGATCATCTTGATTTTTTTCTAGGTTTATCTTTCGCATATAATTTTATTTTAATTGAGACATGTACTTTTATATAGGTTTTCTCAAGAATTGCAGTTAAAAATAGAGAAAGATGCCAGAAATAATTCTTTACCCAAAAAATCTCAAAACAGAAAGAAAGAAAAAGATGATACCTTAGGTGAAGAAAGAAAGACGCTTGTGGTCCAGGTAAATGTTCATATTTTAAGGTTTAAATTTATGGAGGAAAATGATGATTTAATTTTGTTTGTTTGTTGTTTGTTTGTCAAGACAGGGTATCTTTTGGAACCTGTCCTAGAACTTGCTCTGTAGACCAGGCTGGCCTCAAACTCAGAGATCTACTGCCTCTGCCTTCCGGTGCTGGGATTAAAGGTGTGCCACCACCACCTGGCAGAAGATTTAAGTTTTTAAAAATTAGATGTATTCACTTTATTTTATATGTGAGTGTTTAGCTTATATGTATGTGAAGCACATACAGGCTTGGTACTTGCGGGGTCAGAAGAGGGCATTGGCTCCTCTGGAACTGGAATTTCAGATGGTTTGAGAGCCATCATGTGGGTGCCGAGAAGCAAACCTTTGTTTTCTGCAGAGCAGAAAGTGCCCTTAACCTCTGAGCCATCTGTCTCTTCCACGCAATAATGAAGATTTTAAAGTTTTAAAACACTGGGCAAATTTTGAACTTTCAAACTGGTTGAAAAGCCAAACAAGCAAAAAGATCATTTCTTTCCTGTAGACACAACCTTAAACAAAACCCTTTTAAAAGTAATCCCAGTACTCGGGAGGCAGAGGCAGGCGGATCTCTGAGTTCGAGGGCAGCCTGATCTGTAAGAGCTAGTTCCAGGACAGGCTCCAAAGCTACAAAGAAACCCTGTCTCGAAAAACAAACAAACAAACAACAACAACAAAACAAACCAAAAACAAAAAAAGTTTCTACTATTATCAAGTGAAACAAAAGAAGAGTTTTCAAGTTTATGCTCTCTGACTTTGAATATGTAAGAGCCAAAAGCAGCAATCTCTATTCATCTTCCATGTTTTCCTCCCTACTGAAATGTATACGCACAGCCACAGGTCTGCCTCTCTCTGTCTCTCTACCATCTATCCGTCATCTCTCTGTCTGTCTATCCATCATCTGTCTGTCTATCATCTATCATCATCTATCTACCTACCTACCTACCTACCTATCATCTATCAAGTTGATAATGCATCAAATAAATATTCTTGTATTATCACAATAACTATTTGAATAAGAATCTTTATTTTAATTCCGTAGGTAGAATAAGGGTGTGGAGTTTCTTGTCAGATTATTAAATTTTTAATATCTTTATCAATGTTCAGGATACTAATGCTGATCCCAAAATGAAGGATTCTAAAGTGCTTAAAATAAAAGGGTCAAAAATTGATGGTGAGAAAACTGAAAAAGGAGGTAGAACTTCAAATGCAGGCTGTATCCATGACAACGGGACAAGCCACATCAAAGGCTTGCCTTCCACAAGCCTCAGAGACTGCAGTAATGTCAGCATTGACCACCCGAGAAACCCAGGCATGGCGATTCCTCCACTCACACACAATCTTTCTGCGGTTGCTCCTGGCATCAATGCTGGGATGGGGACTATTCCTGGAGTTCAGAGTTACAGGTATGAATGGGAGATGAGACCAAAAAAAAAAAAAAAAAAAAGCTTGCTAATTTGTTCACATGATTTTACTGACAGAATTCTGACTGCAATTTCTACTTATAAAGTAGCCATTTAAATATGGTGATCTTGTGATAAAAATTATTAGAGTTTGCTAGGAAAAAAGGAAAGAATTCACCTAAGTCCTAAGAAAGTATGATTTTACTGTTGCTTATGATACAGAGAATCTATAGCTGTTTAATAAGAGAACTAATTGGTGTTGGGTGGCTGCTGCTGCGTGGAATGGTGGTGAGCATGTGGTGTCATAAGACGCTCCGTTGGGCTTGTTCCTGAAAGGGGCAGCTGTGGGAAGCCTGAGCAATGTCATGAGGCAGGATATTTGATCAGACTTCTGTGCGTTGAGAATAGATATTAAATTGCATATCTTTTAGCATGATGTCATTGATTTTGTATTTGAATAAAATAATTATTAATGATCTAACTTTACAATCTGTTACAGAGTGGATGAGAAAACTAAGAAATACTGTAATCCATTTGTTAAAGCCAGCCAGCCTTCCCCATCAGGGATCTATAACATGAATGTGACCACATCCGTAAGTAACTGTTCTCAGCAGCCAAAGAGCAAGCACTCGTCACCTCCAGACCTGCACTGGTCTAAGCATGAGAACGAAGAATTAAGAGTTTTATGTGGAGACACAGAGTAAAATCTGAATTATACAATACCATCCTAACTTATGACAGCTGTAATTTGAAATTCAGATTGTTTAAATAAATTTTTTAAGTCTGAATTGAAGATTCTCTTAAGATTTAATCTCATTTATTTTCAGCAACATAAGTACATTTTCTTAACCTAATGCTTGCAGTTGAGTTATTTTTAAAGAGCAAACAAGAAGATACTTTGTCTTATTGTCTTACTAGATTTTTAGTGAACATATTTTATATAATCACTTAAGAGCCATCTATGATCATTCTATTGTATATAAGACACTGGAACTGAATTGACTCAATCTTTATGGCACTCATGGTCTCGTAGATCAGCAAGGCGAAAACATGGTGGCAGGCCGGGCGGTAGTGGCACACACCTTTAATCTACCAGAACTTTGGAGACAGAGGCAGGCATATCTCTGTGAGTTCGAGGCCTCCCTGATCTACAGAGCTAGTTCCAGGACAGCCAGGGCTGTGCACACACACACACACACACACACACACACACACACACACACATCCCCTGTCTTGGAAAACCAAACAATCAACTGAGCAACCAGCCAAGCACGGTGGCAGATTTGAATGTGAGAAGCATGTACATGCTTCAGAGATAGTGTGGGAAGGAACTTCGTTGCTCTCAGCCACAACCATACCAAGTAGTCCACCTTTTTGTTCTGATTAAAACTATTGGCCTCTATTCTCTGTGTAAAGGCCAAAGTCCTAGGTATTTTTGCCTGAATCAAGTCCCTAGCCCTGTATTCTATCTCTGTCTGTTATGTTCCTCCATCGGTTCCAACTTGAGATTTCCTTTTTACTTTTATATGATGTCCAGATATACCCATGCCTTTGGGCTTTTACACTTACTGTTTCTCCTTTACAATATGATTCCCCTAGACTATCCAACAAATGCTTTTTGTCCTCTTTAGTCCATAAAGAAGATCTTGAGAACTTCTTTATTATTGAACTCATTTTAATATGGCATCTAGTCCTCCATCACTATCTACACCCTCTCCTTACCTAATTCTCCTCCACTGTGTATGCCCAATACCCTCTATGTTATATAAATGTATTGTCTATCTCTTTGCAATGGAAGGTTAGCTTCTAGCTCGGTAATTTGAACTTTTTCTCACGGATCCACCTCATCAATTACAGGATGCTTAGCCTGTTAAGCTGCTTGAGAGGGTCTGTGGTATGGGTATCAAAAGCTGAGTAACAAGATTATACTGAGACAGTAAACTTGGGGTTGGATAATGTATATGAAGACCAACTGGTCACAATTAAGGTAAAGAACTGCAGTTGTTTGCTGAAAAGCCCAGACGGTGTTGTAAGACTGACCCTGCTGGTTAAAGAACCAGGATGGCAGGCCCATCTTCTGCTGCCTGTTGCTTGCTGGGACTTCCACTGAAGACTGGCAAAGAGGAGAAAAGAAGAGAGAACAATCAGTTTTTGTACTTGTTAGCAAGTTTGATAAATTGACTGGTGAAACTGTTTTCTGTGTCAGTAATGTCCTTAAAGTGTTATTATTTCAGCCCTTGAAATCACACATCTGAGTATATGAATATAGTAGTTACAAGAGAATGAAAGCCTAGCTTACCTCAAAGCTGATGTGTGCTAATCATTCTGATAATCAGGTCTCTAGTGAAAAGTACCTCCTTCAGGCAAGTAAGAAAAGGAAGGAGTATTCCAAAGCAGATGTGCGGCTGCCTGAACTAAACTATAATCATCTCCCGGAACTGAGAGCTTTAGAAGGCTTAGGTACGTTTATGAGCGTCTACTCTTTTCAGCCCTTTTGTTTGTGTTGCTAAATTGTAAGCTAAGCTAACAATGTTAAAAATGTGTAGTAATGTGCATACTTACGTAGGCTAATGTGTCTACTCATCTATAGTATAGTGCTTATGTGGAAAACTACCAAATGGTGGTGGTGTATGCCTTTAATTCCAGCACTTGGGAAGCAGAGGCAGGAGGATCTCTGTGAGTTCAAGGCCAGCCTGGTCTACAAGAGCTAGTTCCAGGACAGCCAGGACTGTTACACAGAGAAACCTTGTCTCAAAAAAAAAAAANAAAAAAAAAAAAAAAAAAAAAAAAAAAAGAAAGAAAAACTAATAGTGCCTAATTTTTTAAATTATGTTTTTGATTCTTTCTTATCTAGCTCGAAATTCTAGGCTAATAAAGAAGGAGAACAAATCTCTTTCAGAATCTCGAATTCCCTCCCTGGCTGCTATTGACCTGCATGCTTCCAGTATTGCCTTACACCAGGTACAGAAATGCGCATCGTAGATACAGCTGAGGTCTCTCTCAGATTTAATAATGTGCTGTAGGGGGAATTTGCTCTTAGGAATTTGGCAGGTTTTTCTATGGGCTCTGTTTTGTTTATAAGTTCATTACACATAGAACTTTATTACACATGCATTTACTGCAACACTTATTGATTGAGGTAATTCGTTCTTCAGTTTGTGAGATGGGGTCTTTATCTTTAAAAACGTTTTAATAAACTTTATTATAAACAATTTGCAAACAAATAAAAACATCACATACTGCCAGGGATTGGTGGCACATACCTCTAATCCCAGCACTTGGGAAGTAGAGGCAGGTGAGTCTCAGTGAGTTTAAGGCCAGCCTGATCTACAAAGTTAGTTCCAGGACAGCCAGAAATCCTGTCTCAAAAAACCAAAAAACCAAAATAAAAAATCACATACCAAAGTTAACCAGACCAAAAATCTATACCACTCCATGAGCTTCTGTACAGTTAGAATAAGCATTCAGAATGGAATCAGAGGCACCTCACTGTAAACAAAGACTGCTCTTGAATTTCCTGGCCACCCAAACCTGAATAATCACACAGTGGCTCTGTCTATCAATCTCTCTCCTCCCCCTCCATCCCTCTCCCCTTTGACCATCCTGTTCCCATCTCCTCCCCTTTACCGCTCATCCCTCTTCTCTCCAGTTTACCCAGGGAAGTGAAATTGAAATTTATGTCCTGGCAATGCTGAAGCATTCTTGGGCAGCCCATAAATAGTGGTTCTGTTGAACTTGTCCATATTGGGCTTCATGGTCTAAGTTGATGAGGATGACTGACCAGGTCTCTTCCTCAAGAGAGTTTACCCAGGGGATCTCATCTAATCCTCCTTTCCAGAGAGATCCACGTGTCAATTTTAGGGTCTTTCTTGTCACCTAGCTTCTCTGGAGCTGTGGACTGTAGTCTGGTTATCCTTTGCTTTACATATAAGAGCCACTTATGAGAGAGTACATACTGAGTTTGTCTGAGTCTGGGTTACCTCACTCAGGATGGCTTATTCTCGTTCCATCCATTTGCCTGCAAATTTCATGATGACTTTTCTCAACATCTAAGTAATACTCCATTGTGTAAATGTACCACATCTTCTTTATCCATTCTTTAGTAGAGGGATATCTAGGTTGTTTCCAGGTTCTGGATATTATGAAGAATGATACTATGAACATTGTTGAGCAAGTGTTCTTGTGGTATGATTGATTATCCATTTGTTATATGCCCAGGAGTGATATCACTGGGCCTTGACGAAGATTGAATCCCAATTTTCTGAGACACTGTCATACTGATTTTCAGAATGGCTGTATAAGATTGTACTCCCACCAGCAGTGGAGGAGTGATCCCCTGACTCCATATTATCTCCAACATAAGTTATCATTAGTGTTTTTGATTTTAGCCATTCTGACAGGTTTTAGATGGTATCTCAGAGTCGTTTTGATTTGCATTTCCCTGATGATTAAGGGTGTTGAGCAATTACTTAAATGCCTTTTGGCCATTTGAGGGTTTTTTTTATGGCACCAGCTGTGAGCTGAGTATCATTTTTTATTTATTAATTTTTTAAAAAATATTTATATATTATGTATACAGTGTTCTGTCTGCATGTAAGCCTCCAGGCCAGAAAAGGGCGCCAGATCTCATTACAGATGGCTGTGAGTCACCCTGTGAGTGCTGGGAATTGAACGCAGGACCTTTGGAAGAACAGTCAGTGCTCTCAACCATGGAGCCATCTCTCCAGCCCCCTACCTGTCTATTCTTATAGTAGGACCAGGCTGCCTTTCTCTAATTACTATAGCTAAGATTTTGAGTACTGTATCAAGAGAGAGAAGAGTACAAATCCTTGATCCTGACTTTAGAGGAAATGATCTCAGTTTTTCTCCTTTTTATTTAATGTTGGTGTGGTGATCTTGATAAGAATGGCCCTACAGGTTCATATATTTGAATGCTTGGTCACCTAACAGTAAATGCACTTTTAGGAGGTGTGGCCTTGTTGGAGGAAGTGTCTGCATTTGTGTTCATTGAGGAAGTAGGTCTGTAGCGTGTGTGTGTGTGTGTGTGTGTGTGTGTGTGTGTGTGTGGTTTGTGTGCACACGCACATGTATTGTATTTTGGTATAAGATGATACTGGCTTTGTAAAAATGATTTTGGTAGTGTTTCTTCTGTCTTGTGGACCAGTCTAAGAATTGGTATGAGGTCTTCCTTGCAAGCTTAGATAGAATTCAGCAGTGAATCCACCTTGTCCTGGCTTTGTCTTCAAGAGGAGACTTTTAATAACTTTCATTGCTTGTAATGGGTCTGTTTCAGATACATCTTCAGGTATTAATTTTGGAAGATGATATACTTTTAGAAATTTCCCCTGGTTATCCAGCTTTTCAGAGTATGGGTTTTGTAGTAATTCCTAATGATGTCCTGAGTTTTATTGGAGTCGGTTGGGATGACGGCCTTTTGGTCTCTGTCTGGTTTTACTAGTTTGTATCTTCTCCTGTCCCCTTTTCATCAGATTAGTTAAGGGGTTGTCTATATCATTAACTTTTTCAACAAAACAACTCTTCAATTGGTTTTATGTATTATTCTTTTGACATCAGCTTCATAATTTCTTCCCTAATCTTTCCTATTTCTTGCTGTGTGCTCTGTTTAGGACTGGATTTTTTTCCTGAGCACCTTGAGGTGCATCACTAGTTAATTTATTTGGTATCTCTCATGAACACATCTCACAATCTACCCTCTTCTCAGGACTGCCGTGGCTGTATCTAGAGGTGCTAATAGGATGCGTTTCCATTAGCATTTGTCTCGAGGAATTTTATAATTTCCTGCCGGATTTTTTAGATGACACAATATTCATTCAAAATTCTGTAGTTGTCTTGCTGTTGATTTCTAGTTATTGCATTATGGTCTGATAGGAGATGAGTAATTGCCTCTTTTTGTTGATGTTATTTTATTTGTTGAGATTTGACTTGTGTCCTCTGGTGTGACCAGTTTTGGAGAAGGTTCCGTGTACTGTTGGGTACAGTATTCTCTTTATATTTTGTTAAGTCCAGTTCATCTGTAGTATATTTAGCTCTGAAATGTCTTTATTTGTTTTTGCTTTGGAAGACCTATTTAAATATAAGAGTAGAATATTAAAATACTCCACTATTTTGTTTGTTTGCTTTTTTTTTTTTTGAGACAGGTTTCTTTGTGTAGCTTTGGAGCCTTTCCTGGAACTCATTCAGTAGACCAGGCTGACTTTGAAGTCACAGAAATCTGCCTGCCTCTGCCTTCCGAGTGCTGGGTTTAAAGGTGTGTGCCACCACTGCCCGGCTAAGTACTCCAGTATTATTGTATCAAGATCTATGTGGTTCTTTATGTTTTTAGTTTTTGTTTTATGAAATTAAGGGCTCTAATACTTTTACATTTATAATTGTTTTGTCTTTTGATGAATTAATCCTTTTATTAATAGGTAGTATCCCCTTTTATCTTTTTCAGTTAGCTTTGGTTTGAAACTTACTTTGTATGATATAAGGATAGCTATGCTGGCTTATTTACATTTTACTTTTCCTTGGTAGTTTGTTTTCTATCCTTTGATATTGAGTTTTGGGGTATATTTGCTGATTAGGTGTGTTTGTTGGAGGCAGACTATACATAGTTCATCACGTCGGTGGTAAACTGAGGCCGCTTACAGGTAAGGTCGCTATGGAAAGGGGTTTCTGTGTCTCGTGGTCGGTGATGTTCTGTTTTGCTGCACTATTCGTATTTCTTCTCCTGCTACCATGTTAATTCTGAGAATTTGCTAAGTTGCGGTGTTGGATATGGTTGTTTCTTACCCGAGTCAAGTTTGTTTATCTGTAGTTAGACTATCTTTTTTTTGTTTGTTTTAAGATAGGGTTTCTCTGTGTAGCCCTGGCCATCCAGAAACCTGCTCTGTAGACCAAGCTGGCCTTGAACTCAGATCCACCATGTGCCACCACTGCCCGGCTTAGTTAGGGTATCTTTTGTTTTCCTCTTTGCAAAGAATCCCACTAACTTTCTATAGTACAGGTGTGGCTGCCATGAATTGCCTTAATTTGTATTTCTCTCAAAACACCTTTATTTACCCATCAGTTTTGAGAGATAGTTTGCAGTGTATAGCATCCCCAGTTACTGTTGTCTACTCCATGTACTAATGGCTCTTACAGTTGCTAATGAGGGTCTGGAATAATTCTGATGTTTCTGCCTTTGAACTGACATTTTTCTTGTGCTGCTTTTAAGATTATTTCTCTACCTTGTATTTTGACACCTTCACTATAATATGTCATGGAGTGTTTCCTTTCTGGTTATGTCTGTATGGAGTTGTGTGTGCCTCTTGTGTTTGGAAGCCTATGTCTTTCTGTAAATTTGGGTAATTTTCTATGATAATTTCTTTTTGTGCAGTACCTACCCTCTCCCAGCACCATGATAATGTGACTAAATACTTGTGTCTATTCCATCCAATTGTACCGCTGCCCCTTCTTCTATCATGTACATTCGCAGGTTTAGCCTCTTGGATGTGTCTCAGACTTCTTGGAAGTACATTTATCCTCCTAATCCATCTCCTTATAGTTAAGTGCTTGTATCGCCATCTCAGAGTCTGTCCACTCTGTCTTCCGAGACATGACTTCTTACTCACCTGCAACTCACTGGCTAGGCTCATGGCCAGTGGTCTCGGGTAACCATGGGTCTCAGCCTCTCCCATCTGAGATTATAAGCATGTGCTGCAAGTCCAGATTCTCTTTTAAACATAGATTCTGGGGGACCAAACTCAGTTCATCACGCTCACAGGAGCTTCACCACCTGAGTTCTCTCTGTTAAGGCTCCGTTCTACTGTTCCCCGATGATTAGATCTTAACAGCAGGTACTGTCTTACCCAGCCCGCCTTGTTCACTGGTTCTTCATTCTCTCGCAGCCTCTGCCTGTGGTGAGAACTTCTCCAGTCATTTGCAGTGTTTTCCTTTACTTTGTGTCACAGCTGTGATGCCTGCTTTGGTTCCAGCAGATTTTTGCTTTTATTTTGGGATGAGTGAGAGATATTGGTTTGTAGTGGGCCATGGCAGGTCAGAAGTATGTCCTCTTTGTACATGGGTTTTTTGGGACTGGGTAGCCCCATATGGCCTTGAACTCAAAACCCTCATCTCCTCCTCTCTAGTGCTGGGATGACATCTGGCTACAAAGTGTCTTTAAAAAATGTATTTATTTAATTTTATACGTATGAATGTTCTGTCTGCACATATGTATTATACCATGTGTGTGCCAAGTTAGAAGAGGGGTCTGAGACCCTGAACCTGGACTAGAGTTATATATGTTATGAGCCACTATGTGAGTGCTGGGAATTGAATCCAGCAAGTGTTCTAAAGCACCAGGCCATCTCTCTAGCCTTGCCAGTGTAAGCCAGGTATGTCAGTGCTTGCTGTCAACCCAGCACTTAGGAATTGGAAGCTAGAGGGTCAAGAGTTCAAGATCATTCTTGGCTAGATAACAAACTGGAGGCCAGCTCTGGCAACACAAAACTGTCTCAGAACAGACAAACAAACAAAATGTGTTTAAACATAGGAATAGGGCCTCTTACTTCATCCTTTCCGTAAGAGCAACTTCAGCTGCGTGTCCTGAGTGTCTGTGCCTGAACTGACATAATCCGAATTCTTGGGTAGAGGGAGTCTTGCAGCTACTGGACACCTATAATGCTTACTTATTATTCCTAGGGATCAGGATCGCCCCTGTCCGAGGATTCTGAGGGTGATCTGCCTCGAATGGAACACCAGCACTGAGACTCACTAACCTGACAGGGTAGGTCTGGCTCTTCCCACTTCAAGCTGTGTATGAGAGCCGCTGGCACAGAGGGGCATGCCACGTAGAAAAGCAGGGCTGGCATCACACCCGGGATGAGATCACTTTCCACAGAGCTTACATTTGTTCTTAAGCTAACTTGCATTTTACTGGATGGGGCAACATGAAGGTAGCTGACAAGTCCTCCAGGAGAATGCGTGTCTGTCTCCAGAATCAGCCTTTTCCTGTGGACTTGTAAAGCAAGATCCCTGGCAGTTTCTGTCCCAGTAGAGCAGAATCCATGCTACATTCGCAGTAGCCTTGTTTGTAAGAACTAACTTTACTGCCCAAGACCCACTAGGACATCTGCTGTGTGACCTGAAGCACATTTCTTATGTGGTATCTCATTAGCTCTCTAGAATGTGAGGGCGATAAAATACCATGTGCTGATAGCTGTGTCGTTGGAGTTAATTTTTAACCTCAACAGAGTATTCTGAGCACCTATGATGTCATAGCTAAATTTACTTTAAAAGCTTAAATTGCAAGCTTTCATTTGCACATCCTTCTAAGGCCCCAAGAAAGGTCTCTGTGATGCAGTCCATTGAGTTAGGTCACGTGAACTCTGGACGTTCATATCACATGAACTCTGCAAGTTGCATGCCTTATAAAACTTAGATCTGTTATATCAAATCAGTCTGTGCTTGTGTAAAATGAGACAGTATGCTACACATGGCTGTTTAGATTGGTAATTATCCTAAAGATTGTCTTTAACATCTTTAAGTTTCTTAGACAACACAGTATCTACAAGTATTACCAACATATTTGACATGAGAAAGTAACAACATGACAATCAGTTTCTAGGAAGATTCTGTGTAAAGTGTTTGGTGCGCACCCTGCTTCTAGATGCTGCCAGCCCTGAGATGACGTCCTCTTGCAACCAGAGCACCCGTGAAATCTGCAGGCCGACTCTTGCCTTTTCAACTACCTACGTTTTCTAAGAAAGGCTTTCTAGAAGAAGGCAAGACAGACTTCCACATACTTCAAAGGAAGATTGAACAAGTGCCCCCTGCTGTTATCCCTTTCCCCTTTTCAACCTATTGATGCTATTTCAAGATATATCCATGAAAGACTAGTGATGCAGTTCTGTTACATGAATGTGTATTTGATATTAGTTAGATTGTGTATTTAAAGTTCTCTGAGATTAAAAGTGAGTAAAAAGGAAAGAATCACTATAAAAGGTCATGTTCTTGTGCATTGAACTTTGCATATTATCTATATAAATGTTTACAGTTGGAGGAAATGAAAAAAGAAGCTAGGATCTGTAAGAGAAGTTTCCTTTACCTTTCCTGTAAGAACACATTTAAAAAGCTTGCTTCTAGGCATTAAGGTGGTGTGAGCCTGCTGTCTGTTGGTAGATGTGTGTCTTTGTTTTCTGTCCTTGTGAAGGGACTCTGCTCTCTGCTGGTCTAAGACCTGTGCTGGTACTAATCAGCGGAGTCCTGTTGTTTCTAATGCCTTGGCTTGGCTAGTCCTGTGCGGTGAGAGTTTCTGTTGCTCATGTTGTATGTGGAATGCTGCACCCTGGAGTTAAGAACAGAGCCTCTCCCCCTTAAAAGTAAAAAGGTATACAAAATAAGAGATGGTGCACAGCTGCCTAGTCACCTAGGCAGTTCTGTCGGGCAGTCACTATCAGTCAAGTGAAGAGGCTTGGTGGAAGCTTTTGTGGACTCCAGTCTTGTCTGTGATAGTGGTTGTGACAGAGGCTGATAGTGTATTGGACCCACAGAAATTCCTGTTGCCTTGTTACTGCAAATACTTAGGTTTACCCAAAAGCCTTTTTACCAAGGTGCAAAGTTATTTCCCTGCATTCCACAGATGCTTTCTGCTGTATAGGTTTACAACCTTTTAGGTGGGAGGAGAAGACCAGTTTGACTCCAGGGTTTTGATTACTGGGTTTCCAGCCATGCTCCATGTTTATCGTTTGAGAACATAGCTCTTCAGGGGGCCAGAATTTGTGTAGGGTTTTTGTATCAACTATCTAATAGTGTGCTTTTCTCAAAAGTCATTGACTAGAATTTAGCCTAAGAGTTGAATGAGAATTCTCCATTACTTTGGGGATTTAAAAATGAAACTCTAAACCTGGACATGTGGGACCTCAAAGGAGTAGACATTCCAGAGGAGGCAAGAATAAAAGGTTCCCACGTAAAAGTCTGTTGGTACTAGTTAAACTGCAGTCTTATTTATATTTAAAAGCTGTGTTTTAAACCTCTGATCATGGGTTTGCCTAGGCTAGTTAGACTAACACGCTGGTAAAGTCACTCTATCAGCAGAAGGGGGCTTTCTGCTAACATCCATGACTTACTGTTGTGTTGAAAAGCATCGCCCACAGACAGCAGCGTGGAAGACAGACAGCTGAGGTCACCCAGCGCATGGCAGTGTCATCTTCATGTAAAGGCCAACGCGGAATTTTAGCTTGACGACTGAGCGAGGGTCTATCAGCCACTTATAATCTGTGTACTTGGGTTTGGTATCTTTGGCCTAGTAAGACACTTTATGAACTTTAGAATTAAGGAATTAAAAATAATTTTCTAAGTCCTTATTGTTATTTGAAGATCATTTTTGGTTAGAACTTTGGTGTGGCGCTAAAGAACTAAAGATTGTTCAGATCAAGTCTGTAGGTACTGACCAAAACAATATCTGTTTTCAGTTTGTGGGGTTTAGTCCCTTCTTGCAATAATGGACTTATATGGACATGCTAATGTGAAGTGATTTTAAGTACTTTTGAGAGACAATGGGCTTGCTGTGCCTACCTATGTTTTAAAATTAATAAATATTGTCTAACTAAGCACGATAGATGGTTTTAATTTATATTAAGAGAGTATAAAATATACGTATCACTATATAGTATTAATAAATAAAATTGAAATAATCAGTCAATTCTCTTCTCTTTTTTGGTAGAAATTCTGGACTTAGGGTATAAAGTTAATTTTTTTCTTTTAATACTTTGACTTCTTTATTTTTAATCCCTTTTATCTCTTACTTTTCTTCTTTTAAAATTTATTTTTATTTTAAGTGCATTGGTGTTTTGCCATGGGTGTTGAGTCCCCTGGAACTGGAGTTACAGACAGTTTTGAGCTGCCATGTGGGTACTGGAATTGAATCCAGATTCTCTGGAAGAGAAGTCAGTGCTCTTAACCTCTGAGCCACTTCTCCAGCCCCCAAGTTAATTTTTCTTGTAGAGCTGTTGATATAGGCAGGCAGTATTGTGACAAAATGACATTTTGTAACACCATCTGCCCAAAGTATGAGAGACCCAGGCCCAAGCCTGGCACCTGGTTCTGCTGGTGGAGACCCCTTGTGTTTAGAATGGCAGGCTTCTCTCTTCCTTTTGCTTCCTCCCTCATCCCCCAGTAGCCTACTGTTTTCGGCTGGGTCTGTGTGAAGCTGCTGGTCAGACTTATACTGGAAAATGTGGTTGAATTTTTTTAAGGCCTCCTCATGCAATCAAACCACAGGTCAGGAAGTAGAGCCCACCAGAGCTCGCTTTAAAGGCTTAGGCGTGTCTAGTGAGTTTTCTGTATTGTGTTGAGTGTGTTTATGACAAGGGCCCTTAATGCTTTTATTTGTATAAAAAGTTACATTCTCATATTTCTTTCTAATTGGTATTACCTTTCCCCTCTTCTTAGTTTCAAAGATGGAATAGCTTGAAGATGTAAGAACTCGGCAGCATACTTGCTTCTTAACACCCTTCTGAGAAATGCCTCAGATCCAGACGCACCTCCCAGCAGCAGTGCAAACTTCTCCAAAACAGAACTAGTCATTTTACGTTGTTTGTCATGAAAAGTTTTCTCCCCCGTTTCGGAGCCTTGTCTAATTCTTTTATTCTTTACTTTGGCATCCTGAATCATTTCTTGTAGAAGTGAGAAAGGGGCAGATAAACTCTCGGGATGTGTGTCAGTTAACGTCAGATGGACTCTGGGGATGTGTGTCAGTTAATGTAAGATGGACTCTGGGGATGTGTGTCAGTTCACGTAAGATGGAGTCGGGGCGTGAAAACATTGTCCTCAATCACCACCTGGACAGGACCTCCATCCAGGACAGGAATAGTACAGTCACCATGTTGCTGACTCTTCTTTGTCCCTCTAGATTAGGAACCAGACCTTACTAATGTGGTAATAAGAAAAGCTTATGAAAGTAGAGATATTGTTCATACTTTTGTGAAGCTAGGCTTATACAGTTAAAGAAGTTACTTCTTAAGCAAGCCAATGGGTGTTTGTTGACATAAATTGTGGTTATAATTATTTACAGCAGAAATTAATTTATTAAACATTTATTTAGATAATAAGAGCTGGGGCCTAGAGCGATGGTTCAGTGGTTCTGAGCTCGGACTCTTCTTCCTGAGAACCTAGGTTCAATTTCCCATATCCACATTTCATCACACAACTGCCTGTAACTCCAGTTCCATGGGATCTCATGCCCTCTTCTGGCCTCCACAGGTACTGGGCACACAAGTGGCATACAGACATACATGTAGGCAAAACACCCATGCATACAAAATAAAAACGTTTTAATAGGTAATATGAGCTTTTAGAGTTTATACTCCTGGTATTTCTTGTATTAAAGGAAGATGGAGATGTTTTCTTTATCACTAAGCAAAGCTTCACTCCCAGGATACTGAGTACCGATTTTCTGCTAAATTCTCTCCTTAATTAATGGAAGGGAAAGGAAATAGGATTCTGCTGGTTGTGCTAGTGGCAACATATCCATGGAACCACATGGCCTCTACACAGTGGGGAGGCAAGAGTGGATGTCGGAGAAATGGTCTTCCCCACGGGTCAATATTTGAAGCTACAAAAGGTATACAGGAAAGTTCTGAGTTCAACACCAGCCTGGTCTACATAGGGAAACCATTCATGTCTCAAAAACAAAACAAAATGAAAAGGTATGTTTTATTTTAGTCTTGATTGATTCTGTCAAATTGTCCTCCAAAAAGACTATCATATTTTCCAATAAAGGAAAATGTCAAATTCAGGTAATATAATATGAATACATTAAAATATGTTGCGGGTCAAAAATTAATATTGAGAGATGCGACCTAGTCAGAAGAAAGAAAAGGGCACAGAGCCCAATTCCTCTATCAGACTGTGGTCAGAAAATATGAGAAATAAGCTCTTCTGGACAGGAGGGGAGAGAGGGCAGTACCACTTGACTGGGCAGGGATTACTTAAGGAGTTATCTGCTGCAGCTGGCTCTGTGCAGGATGCTGGGTTCTGCCAAGCTCTATTCCAGGAGGTGGCGGTAAAGCCCTGCTCATGGTAAGTCATGTCCATCCCAAGGGAGAAGAATACTAAAATCTGTGATGAATTTTGTGTGAGGAACTAGTATCTCTCGTCTTTTGTCCATGCATCTAAAACTGGTGATTTACTATTATTTTAGATTTAATCATGTGTGAATGTATATTGCGTGAGTCTGTATGTGGGAATGCACATGTGTGCAGGCACCCATGGATGTGAGAGGTGTCAGATCCCCTAAACTGGAGTTAGAGGTGCTGGGAGCCTAGCTCACTGAGCCATCTCTACAGCACTCTTTTCTCTCTCTGTGTGTGTGTGTGTGTGTGTGTGTGTGTGTTTGTTCTTGTTGAAGCACAGCGTGGTAAGATGTCGTCAGTCACCTGAAACTTAGAGAAGGCCTGGGAACACTGTAATGGGGCGTGAGAAGGCACCACCAGGGCGGTGGTGCTCCCCAGCATTGTTTTTTTTTTTTTTTAAGATTTATTTTATTATGTATACAATGTTCCTCCGCATGTACACCATTATGCCAGAAGAGGGCACCAGACCTCATTACAGATGGTTATGAGCCATCATGTGCTTGCTGGGAATTGAACTCAGGACCTCAGGAAGAACAGCCAGTGTTCTTAAACTCTGAGCCATCTCTCCAGCCCCCCAGCAAGCATTAGGAGCACACTGCTTATCCAGGCTCCAGGAGTTTCTGAAACACACAGAAGACGGGGACACAGAAGACTGGGTGGTCTTGATCTCCTCACAGCCTCTGTGATATCGGGGCTCCCTGGGTGCCATTAGGTGGCTGGGGACTCCTAGGTCAGCAAGGCAGAGATGTGGCTGGTTGGGAAAGTGGACATGATAAAGAACAGTGGATGTGGGGACTTACTACTTTAACAAGGCAAAGATGTGTTACATTTATTTATGTTGTGGAATATTACTTTAACTATGTAAAGGTGTGTTACATTTGTTTATGCTGCGTTTGCTCAATAATGTGAAGGTGTGTTACATTTGTTTATGCTGCGTTTGTTTAATGATGTAAAGATGTGTCGCTTTGCCTGCCTAAGGTACTGACTGGTCTAATAAAAAGCTGAATGGCCAGTAGGTAGACAGTGGATGGATAGGCAGGGTTGCCAGGCAGAGACAATAAGTAGGAGTAGGAATCTAGGCTCAAGAGGGAGAGAGAGAGAACGAGGGAGAAAGAGGGGGAGACGCCCAGGACCAGGCAGCCACCAGCCAGCGAGACACGGAGCAGGACATCCAGAATGGAAGGAAGGCAAAACATAGATGGAGAGAAACAGGCTAAAATAAGTTATAAGAGCTAGCAAGAAATGAGCCTAAGCTAAGGCTGAGCATTCATAACTGACAAGAAGTCTCCATGTCATGATTTGGGAGCTGGGTGGGGGCCCAAAAGAAAGATGGCTACATGGATGCCATCAAGAGCTCTGAGTACAAGACAAGGAATTGACAGAATCATGGAAGCTGATTTGCTTCCCAGAACGAAACTGGGGACATGGGAACGCTGAGCAGACCACTTTGAGAGTTCCAGTCTTTCAAGGCTTTAAACATCTTCAGGACTGACTGGAAACAGGGTTTTCAAGTGTGACGTGCCAGGCAGTGGTAGAATGTAAGTCAGTCCTCAGAGTGAAGGGCAAGTGGAAAGAGAATCCACCCCGATCTCGGCTTTCTCCCTCGATTCTGTTCATTTGCATAATGTAGACCCAACCCTGAGGGCAGTTAGCAAACCCAGCTGCCATCACTCCACTGGATTCTCAATTTTAAAAATGCACAGCAGAATTTTTTTTACAGGAAACTAGCATATTTTTTATGTCTAAAAATGTATGTCCTTAGCCCATGTCTCAAGACAAAAAAAAAAAAAAAAAAAAAAAAAAAGAATCACACAAGGAAACTGAATCAGGGAGGATGGGAAAGGAGGCAGGCGGTGGCGGTGTGGAGACCAAGGGGCTTTAAACCAGGGTTAGACCAGACTTCTGCTGTGTCTCATGACAGCACCGCCATACACCCCGCGTCCCCAGCAGAGCAATGAAAGAAATTGTGAAAGATGTTTCCAAAGTTAAACAGTTGATTTTATGCAGAACATGTAATAAACCCTTGTCTTTTGCGCACCACTGCTTGGGGGTCCTGATTCCTAGGGGTACTCTGCTACTGAGCCAAACTCCTCACCCACAGATTTACGTCTTTACCTGGTCCTGCAGAGGGCTTTTACAAAGAGGATTGGACTCAGAGTTTTAAAGGCTATTTATTTATTTTTTAATTTTGCATATGGGTGTTTTGCCTGCATGTAAGTATGTGTACTACATTCGTGCCTGGTGTCCACAGAAGCCTGAAGAGGGGATCGGATCACCTGGGGCTGGCTAAAGACTGTTATTAGTCACCATGTGGGTGCTGGGAATTGTACCCTAGTCGTCTGTGAGAGCAGCCAAGGCTACACAGTGAGACCTTGTCTCACCCAAAACAAACCACAACAACACCATTGTAATTTAAACCTGCTCTACACACACACACACACACACACACACACACACACACACACACATTTAAAAACTTAGAGGCTAAACATTGCCTTTAGAAGCAGAGCTAGCTTACCTGTATTGTAGGGTTATATTTTTAACTCCTCTTTAAGGCGTGCATAAATATAAGATTGACTTCTGTGTTTTTAGAAAAGATTTATTTTCAATTTGTGTGTGTGTGTGTGTATGCATGCACACACACTTGAATGCTGCAGCCTTTGGGTTCTGGAATGGGCATCAAATACTCTGGAACTGGAGTTACGGGTGGTTGTGAGCAGCCTGAGCAGGGTGCTAGGAACCAGATTCAAGTCCTTAGTAAATATGCGTAACTGCAGAGCCATCTACCCAGCCTCTCCAGTTTTGTTTGTTTGTTCGCTTGTTTGATTTTTGTTTTATCAAGACAAGGTTCCTCTGTGTAACAGCTCTGACTGTGCTGTAACTTGTTTTGTAGACCAGTCTGGACTCAAACTCACAGAGATCTGCCTGCTTCTGCCTCCCGAGTGCTGGGGTTTCACCGCCCAGCTCTCTGTGTTGTTGTTGCTATTTTAGTTTTTCGAGACAGGGTTTCTCTATGTAGCTTTGGTGCCTGTCTGGGAACTCACTCTGTAGACCAGAGTGGCCTTGAACTCACAGAGATCTGCCTGCCTCTGCCTCCCTAGTGTCGGGATTAAAGACCTGTGCCACTACTGCCCAGGTCTGTATTATTTTTAAGAATGCTTTTTAAATTATCATTTTGAAATGATGTGATGTCATACTATAGAAAGGTAGCAAGAATTTCTATATGCCATTTACTTTCAGGTATACCAATTGTAAAAACATTTTGTCTATCTATCTATCTATCTATCTACCGCTCATTTATCAAGCACATTTTCCCCTTGGATGATCTGAGATTGAACTCTTGAAATTACATTCCCACTCTCCATCAAATGCCCCAGGGTCTCCTCACGAAGAACACGATACTCTCTTACAGAATTAGCAAATTCAGAAATGTAACTCTGACATAATTGTTGCCAAATGCATTGTTCATATTCTGAACTTTCCAGGTATCTGAGTCCTTTATGACCACCCCTCCCTTGCTTTCCCACTCCGGGATCTACCAGGGATGGGACACTGTGTACCTGTAGCGCACGGTGACTCGATGCTGCGTACCTGTAGTGCGTGCGAGGTCACTCAATGCTACATACCTGTAGCGCTCAGTGACACGACACTTTCATCTTCAACCTTCACCCTTCATGGCGCCAACACTTTTGAAGATGCTGGTTCTAAAAATGTCCTTCAATTTGAGTTTGTTTTAGGGTTAAATTGAGCTTATCTGTATGGATTAGAAGTTTATAGACTTACCTGGTTCATTCTTGCCTCAAAGCCAAAGATGCATTAAAGAATGACCATTCTCCACACAAACTAGCCGGGAGCCACCATATTTTAAAAGCAAAGTTTATGAAACTGAAGGAATGATGAAAACATGTTTAGGTCACAAAAACTTATGTTTTTATTGTGTGTGCTGCCTACCACACATGCACAGGGAGTGGGATGGTGCTTTACCTCAAGTTAGCTGCAGAACTTTCTGTCAAACTCTACACTATTAACCCGCTTTCAGCAACAGACCCAATGGTTGACACGTTGTAGCTGTCACCCATCATTGCTGTGTCACCGGAGACTTACGTACCGCCTGATGTGGCCTTGTAAGAAACTAGATTTCAAGGGGCTGGAGAGATGGCTCAGTGGTTAAGAGCATTGACTGCTCTTCCAGAGGTCCTGAGTTCAATTCCCAGCAACCACATGGCTCAAAACCACCTGTAATAAGATCTGGTGCCAACTTCTGTCTGCAGGGACACACACAGGCAGAACATTGTATACATAATAAATAAATAAATAAAATAAACAAAGAAACTAGGTTTCAGAACTGCCCAATTGTAAACTCGTATTGGTTACTGTTGTATGTGTGGGAAGTGCGTGTGTTGCTGTGCTACAGCATCCGCACAGAGGTCCGAAGACAACTTAGTGCAGCCAGTTCCCTCCTCAGCCTCCTGTGAGCTCTGTGCCATCAAACTTAAGCCGCCAGGCTTCTGTAGCAAGTACCGTTGCCTGCTGGGCCATCTCTCAGGCCCAGGACTGTTGACTGTTTTAATTGCAAAAGTTCTAATGTTTGGAGCAAGAAAGCTCCAATCTAAACCCGGGTTGGTTTAAGCCAGTGGGGGCTGTGAGTGTGCCAAGCACATAGGTGGCCATGAAGGGCCAGGAAGAGACATGGGATGGAAATCCAAATCTTCATCTTTCTTTGCCCAAGTGTGGTCTTTTCTGGTTGGTTTTCCTCTTCTCCACACAGAGAGAACATGTGAAGTTTATTTCAAAATAGAGTTTCTTGAGGACTCAGATCGGGTTTAAGCCTAGAAGTTTGGAGGAAACATCCGCTCTTACACTCCGTTTCCCCTTTCATCATGTGACAAGGAGGAAGCGGCTGGCGTGATGATCCTGTCCTTGTCCTGGATGTCCATTTCCAGAGTTCATGCATTTGTGGTAGTATAGTTTGTTTCCCCTTGCAGCAGCAGTGACGGCATCATTCGCACACAGTTCTTGAGAACACAGGGAAGCCACTGGCCACGCGCACAGAACCCAGGTTCCCGTGACACAGGCAAGAGGTGGGGCTTTCTAGAGGTCAGGCACACAGAGGTGAGTTTGTCATTCACCTGAGAGTGCAAGGTCCCCACAGTTGAGTTGGCATTAACTAACATCCGGGTATTGTAAAACTAAGTGTTTGATTGGAACCATGTTGAGTTTGAAGGGAAGTATTTCATTTTACCTGTGTGATGTCTCATTTGTCTATGCGATGATTATAGGAGAAACAGTGAAGTGTTTATCAAGTTAGTACACTAGTTAATGTTAAAGTTAGGATGGTTTTGTGCAAATGATTCGAGTTTGATAGTTCAGCGTACAATTACAGTGTGACCTAGAGTCATATTCTCCGGAAGGCCTTTCGCTTTAAGCTTCATAATTTCCTTTAAAGTTCACTTTGTGGATCCACCTATTCTCTGTTTCCCAGCGAGTATGAAAGAGTGGCATTAATTTCTACATTCGGCTCATCATGTTCTCTTTAAAATGTCCTCCACTCTAATATGGAAGAGGGGGTCAATTAATACTGCTGGTGTCTAAGTATAGATAGAAGTGATTGGAACAGCCCATTTAAAGATTTTATTTGTGTTAATATCCCATGGGATAAGAATATCCAGTTACTGTCAGATTTTGTTAACAAAAATGTTAATCTCTTCATTGTGGACAAATGTCTAGTCAATGGTACCGAGGATTCTTAGTCTTCTAATGCGGGGATTTTAGACTGGAGAGAGAAACAGTTTCACCGTCTTTTTCAGAGGCGTCGATTCTTTTGCTTCCGTGTGTTTGGGCTTCTCATTTCTCCATGCTTTCCTCAGATGAACTTCCGCTCTGGAACCGTCCTCCTCCGAGGTACCGCCCAGTAATCAGCCTACCTTGTGGCAGGTAGAAACGATTTAACTGGAAGCCGTAGTTGTAGTTTGGAAGGAGAGAAGGTCTGTTAGGAAGCCTCGGGTAGAAGCCAGGCCTTTGCAGAAAATAAGTCCAAGTCCACAGGGGCATCCTTGGGTTGAGTTGGGCCCTTGTTACTGTAGGCCTCCCTGTTGTGGGCGGAGGGGTGAGTGTGAAGATTTGACAGTCTGTAGGGTTCCCATTGTTTGGCGAGCCACCAGGAGGGGTCACGACACCTTGTCCTGTGGAAATGAAAATGTAGGTCAGGAAATGGGCCTGGCAGCAGAAGTGGAGGAAGTTAGATCCCTCAGGGTGAAGGTGGGAGAGAGGTGAAGTACAACACGGAGACATTTGAAAGCGTGACTAACCGAATGGCAGTGGTCCAAGGGGACGAAGCGTGGACACACCTAGTGATGCACGTTTCCATCTGGGGAACTGACCCAAAAGAAATAAATGCATATTTACCCAAACATACTAGTTCAAGCATGTCCACAGTCTAGAAAACCCAAACGCCCACCAATAGGAGAAGAGCTGAATAAACCGTGTGTGTTCATACAAGGCAACAGTCTCTAGGAACACAGAGGAAGAACAGCCAATACCTAGAAACCGAGAGTCCATGTTATGTTGAACAAAGGAAACTGGACAGAACACTGTGTACATCGTAAGAGTCCATTTATAGGAAGTTCAAGAGTAAGCAAGATGAAGCTATGGTTAGAAAACCAATCAGGCCAGCTGAGGGTAAGCACACATGTGCTTTCACGGAGGAATTAACCAAGAAACTCTTTAGGCCATGTTCTACACCTTGATCTTGGTGGTTATTAAGTAGATTTGGATATATGTAACATACACACATATAACATATGTATACTGGTTTAAAATGTGGTAAGGTTGTTCTTTTAAGATTTGAAGGTATTATTTTTTGTATATGACTTACAAAAAAATAAGGAAAATTCACCGAAATAAAAAAAAAAGAATTTATTTACTATTAAGAAAATAAACCCGAGCCAGGTGGTGGTGGCGGCGCACGCCTTTGATCCCAGCACTCGGAAGGCAGAGGCAGGCAGATCTCTGTGAGTTCGAGGCCAGTCTGGTCTACAAGAGCTAGTTCCAGGACAGGCTCCAAAGTTATAGAGAAACCTTGTCTCGAAAAAGAAAAAAAAAAAAAAACTAAAACGAAAAATCTGGCAGTGTTGGTGCATGCCTTTAATACTAGCACTTGGGAAGCAGAGGCAGGTGGATCTCTGTGAGTTGGAGGGCAGCCTGGTCTACAAAATGAGTTCAAGGACAGCCAGAGCTGTTATACAGAGAAACCTTGTCTTAAAAAAAAAAAAGGCAGACAACTTATTTTTGAGAAGAAATCTGGATGCACCCAAGTGTCACTTCCTCCCGTCCTGTGTCACCGGTCGAGTTGGTCTCGGCTGTGCAGCGTTGTTTGGCTTAGAATGCATCTCTCTAGACACGAGATGACGGGCAGACATAATGGGGGAAACATGAGCATCCCCCAGGAGACTGAGAGTGCTGATGAATTTAGAAAGAACTAGATCCTCCCCCTGTTGGTACAGTTGATGTGAGCTTTGTGGCTGCCCAGGATGTGCTTATCCAGCCACCAGAGTCCTTAGTCCCCTTTTTTTATTCATAGTCCTTGGAAATGTTAGTCTTGAGCACCTGGATGGGCACTCAACACTCATTCGCTAGTCATCGAGGAATTAGGACTCCTGGAATCACAGATGGCAGTGAGTCACCATGTGGGTGCTGGGAATTGAATCAGGGTCCTCTGGAAGAGCAGTCAGTATGCTTAACCACTGAGCCATCTCTCCAGCCCCATCATCTTATTAAATCCCATGATGATTGGGTGCTAGAGCATGACATGCAGATTTTCTCCTAGGTTGAGCTGTCTAGAAGTTTAGTGTTCTCTTCTGGGAATCCACAAGGCCCAAGATCAAGGTGCAACTTGCTTCTATCACTGACTTGAGGCAGTCGACAAGACCATATAAGTATGTTTTGATATTTTCCTAACAAACTAATCACATGGTGATTATATTGGGTCTCTGATGGGGAACTTCCTTAGCCAATGGCCTTTGAGAGGCTGGACAAGGTAGGGCATAACCTTTGGGTACCAAAAAGTCCATGGGAGCACCCACTCAGCCTGTTCTTTCCACTCGCCATACCTGGATGTTGGACCCCATTCCTTTTTCCTCCTTGAGATCTGTGAAAAACCTTCGTACACCCTATTTGGAGCTAGTGTGGGATTATTTGATTCGCATTCCCCCCATCTGACATGTTCTGCTTCAGGTCACTACTTAGAAACACAAGTGTTCTAAAATGTAAGAACATTGGCTGAAGTGATGACTTGTGGTTAAGAGCACTGGCCACTTATCCAGGGGACACGGGTTTGATTCCTGTACACACATGGTGGCTTATAACCATCCATAACCCTCTTCTACCAGGCACACAGGTGGTATGCAGACATACACGTGAGTGGAACACCCGTTTACATAAAATAAAACTTAATAAAAATAAAATGTAAGAGCCTAGGAGTTGGTTTGAGTATCTGTCACATGTTACAAAGTCAAACCGTCCTGTAACCTGATGTTAGGCTCCACTGACCCTGTCCATCTGTCCTTTAGTTTGACCTCATTCTGCCCACTTCCTGTCATCATCTTTCTTTTCTCCTCAAAGTGCCTTCAAAACTCCCAGGATGATTCGAAGAATCCACCTCTCCAAGTTATTCAATGTCACTTTTCAGAGAGGAAAACCATGAACTTCTTAGGTTCTTTTGTTAAAGCGGGCCATAAACTACGTACACATTCGACAGCAGTGGCTGTCTCCTCCACTCTACAAATGCTCCTTTGCAAAGCCTAATATTCCTGGGCTTAAAATTGGGTTCCAGATGTCTACAGTTCTATTTTCTACCTCTTTCCCCGACAGCTCTCATCTAGTCCCCACGTTAGATCTCCTTAGGGAGATCCTTCATCTTCCCTGCATGAAGGCAGCGTGACAGCCTCTTGCCAGAACTTCCTAGCAGACTTGGCCCACCAGCATCACTCTTACCAGAGCCATGAGGTCATCATTTCTGAGATAGCCACTGGCCCCACCCCAGCGCCTGTGGAAGAACTGAATCAACTGAGAGAAATCTCCATCTCTAGAATTGTAAAGTTAGTTCCCACGTTCTACACGTGAGGGATAGTGTGAGGATTAACACACATTTCCCACACGTTACACACTACCAAACCAGCACAAGCACTGGACGGCAGAGCTAAGCATCCCGAAAGCCTAATGAGACCGAAGCAGGTCACGAAGTTGAATGTTGATTAGAAACAGCTGGGGAGGCAGGACAGCGTGACGTTCCAGGGGCAGGATCCCTGAGTCCTGCTTCTAATATTGTGACTGTAGGCGGACGCCCTCACCCCTGAGAGCTCTCCTTATTCGTAAGATGGAGAGAATAATATGACCTGTTCAAAGGGCTTGTGAGATTATCCAAAATAAGATATTCGTGGTTCTCGATGTGTCCCGCTGCACAGCGCACGGTACACATTTAGTGAGCTGGCAATCATCCCTGTCAGTTGTTATGGCTGTGGATGCTGTAGAAGGATTTTTAGCAGCACAAGCTCCAGTTCTTAGGTCCATTTGTTAACATGATCTGTGCATCGAGGTGAGGATAGGCCTAAAGTACATAGTTATAAAATGTAGGATTTTGTTGGCCATTGCTGATGCACTAGGGACCTGGAACACTTCTGGATGACAGTGTTTTTAGTAAACACTTGGTGTATTCACCCAACGGCTAGGCAGACTTTGGCTGTTTTTTTTTTTTTTCCGGTGTTTTTGTGGTATTCAGTGAGTATATAATTCCTGTTTTTGAATGTCTTCAATAATAATTTATATTTAAAATTATAGTATTGTATAATAAACACCGAAATATTGTTTGGAGTTTGGCTATCAATTTTAAATGGGCTTATTACAGTCTAGACATGAAATTTTTAACGTACCCAAAACCTAGCACTTTAAAAAAAAAGGTAACGATGAGAAGATCTTTTTCTAATTACCTGTAGTCTGTGGTTAGCTGGGCAGACAATAGCTGTTTTGTAGCGAACTGTAGTGCTTTTTAGAGATGCAGGCTTGGGACTTGATGTCTAGGTATGCCATTCTTCCCTCACAAAGTGCCGGAGCCTTAGAATTCCCACGCCATCTCAGACTTGGACCACAAAGAGGTACCAGTGCCGTGGTTAACTGACTCATAATAATTGTAACTTAATCCATTTCGTAGACTCAGAGAATGATTGACTATTTCGTTCAAACCCCTCATTTGAAAGATGTGGTTTCGAGCCCAGCAGATGTCCTGCTCAGTGTGTTGTGAGTGAAGTGTGTTCCACTGTGAGCGCGGCCCCTGTCAGGTGCTGAATTAAATGCAGAGACGACAAAGACAGCGCCTGCCTCTGAGGATGGGGAAGGTGCTACAGATATACAGATCTGCATTTCGAAGTGGAATGGCACTTATGCTGTAGGTGATGTACGGATTGCCATGACAACCCAAAGATGCCAGAGGGGAAAACTGCTCTCTTATAATACTGTCTTGAGAAAGCTTGCAAATGCATCTTTATGGTCACATTTAAATGCAGCCACTTGAAGCAGGATTGCAGAAAGCAGATGTGAAGCAGGAAAGGTGCAGCCGCTGCCATGGAGGGGCAAGGGCCTAGGGAGTGTGGGACACACGATGACCCTGTTGGGAGGTCAGTCCCACAACAAACTAAAGTGAGTGAGGATGTAGAACCTAGACTGTAAGCTCAGAGATCAAATCTCACATTTCAAATGGTATTTTTACCTGTTTGGGGACATGGTTTCACTAAGTAGCTCTGGTTGTCCATCCTGGAACTCACCATGTAGACTAGGCTGGCCCTGAACTCACAGACAGCGCTGTAATTCCAGGTTGGCATTGTTAGCTTGGTAACCATGTGACAATAATAGCATTTGTGTAAGGCTTTTAATGTGAGAATTTCTTAATTTCTCTCTCTCCCTCTCTCTTTCCCTCTCTCTCTCCCTCCCTCTTCCTCCTTTCTTTTCTTTTGCACATAGTTCAATGGTTTTCTTCAGCTCCAGTATAATGCATATTAATATTGTCAGTTTACATATGAGAAATTCATGTATAATGCTCAAAGAGGCTACAAGGGTCTCAAATCACAATGCTGAGACTTGGATTCAGGTCTTCAGATGAGAAAATCCAGCCTTTCATTTAACCACATGAGCTGATGATAGCAGATATAAACATTTCCAAATTATGGAAATGTATAATCATGGAAGCCACATTTGCCTTCCGATATGGCATTAATTATTTAACCCCCACACAGTGAATAAAAACCCAGACTCTTACCTTCTGCCATAGTTAGCACTGACCAGCAGACCAGGACCCAGAAGTGGAATCCGGGAGCCATGGCTTCCGCCCTGAGCACTCACGCTGCTCTGGACCCACAGCTGCTTTAAAGGAGAGTGCCTGAGTCACCGGCAGGTGAGTCAGGCAATTAGCATGAGCATAGGGGACCACAACTACCTGGACGTGTGGGGAGAGAGAGAAAAATTTTCAAGGAAATACCGGACTGCATTCATTGACCTGAAGCTCCTGCTAAAGCCTGGCAAGCGCCGTTCATCTTGCCTTCATTTGGACTGCCCCTTCAATGTCCTTTGAGTTCCAAACACTCCCCCACTGCACTGCCTTCTCCTTGCTGTGTCTGTGGTTCCTTAGCCGATGGGAAGGTCTCTTAGTTGCTTTTCTAGAAGAGCGATTCTCAGCCTTTCTAATGCTGCGACCCGGTGATCCCCACCCCTAAAATTATTTCATTGCTATTTCATAACTGTAATTTTGCTACTGTTATGAATCATATTGTAAATATCTGATATTCAGGATATCTGATAGGTGATCTCTGTGAAAGTGTTCTTTGACCTCAAAGGGGTAGCGACCCACAGGTTGAAAACCACTGTTTCAGATGAAAGAGTTTATTCAGGCTTACAGTTTCAAACGGTGAGTCCATGATCATCATGGTGGGGATCTCTTGTCTGAGGTTTTCTGTCCTGCCTGGTTCCCGCAGTCATTAAGTCCCAAAGAAATCACACAGAGGTCTATGTTAATTATAAACTGATTGGCTCATTAGCTCAGACTTCTTATTAACTCTTACAACTTATATTAGCCCATTATACTTATCTGTTAGCCACATGGCTCAGTACCTTATTCGGCGAGGCAGTCACATCTTGCTTCTTCTGTGGCAAGATCTTTGGAGGTGTGTGTGTGTTAGTCCGTGTTCTCTCACTGTGACAAAACGTTTGAGAATCAATTTGAAAAGAAGAAATATTTATTTTGACATAAGCTCAGAAGTTCTAGCTCTTGCTCAGTTGTTTCTGTTGCTTTCGGAGCTGTGGTGAGAACATTATTGCAGGGGCCACAAATACTTTTCTCACAGTGACCAGGAAACCAAGGGGGGTCCCAGGAGTCCCTTTAAGGGAACCACCCCTCAGTGACCTCACTCCCATTCAACAGTCTCCATCTGGCAAAGGTCCCACCACCCAGTTGTGCTCCAGGCTGGGGAGCACCACTGGGCATTTGGGGAGATTCAAAATTTGAACTATAATAAGTACCCTCCCTCAGAGGACTGTTATTGACACAACGCTCAAACTGTTGTGCAAGCCTGTGAAAAGCGAGCATTTGTGGGTTTTTAATTAAATTATCATAACTTCAATTCAGAATTTGTTCTCTTAGAACATTCACTCAAAAGACTGCGTTGATCAGAGTTTTCATCTGCACTTTAGGAAGAGCAGATTTAGTCATAGTCTTGGGATTTAAAGGATGACAATCTAGAGACGCCACCAGAGGGTCAAGATGGAGTTCAGAAGGCAAAGAGCCACAAATGAGGAAGCAGAAAATTCCTCTTTCTTGATTTTGGTCCTTGAAAAAAATTCGAGAACAATTTTTGTTTAGAGGTGATGGGTCTCACTACATTGCCCAGACTGGTCTTGAACTTGTGGGCTCAAGTTATATATAGTTCAGACTCTTGAATAACGGCAACTCAGGGCTTTTGTTACCATGCTGTGTGCCCGTTATGTCTGACATTATTCCAAACTATTGGACTACAGACAAAATATCAGCTCCAAGGTTCATACCAAAGGGCTCTAGAAGAACACAGGAATAAAGTATTTAGTGTGCTATCACGTGTTAGAATGCCCTGTAATATATGCTACAGGAAAATGAAAATGTTCAAGGTATGGAACGCAGGGAGGTTGACGTTTTAATTCAAAGATGATATCTGAACAAAGACTTGAGGCAGTGGGGAAGTCATGCATGTGGATGTCTGGAGCAAGACTGAATCAGACAGATGGTATAGCCAGCGCAAAGCCCCTGAAGCAGAAGTAGGGTTGCATAGAATATCTGCCAGCATGGAAACAGTTGTAGTCGGGCAGGAGAACGTCATTACGGAGAGGTATAGGAGTACCAGGAGGCTGGCTAGCTATCGTGGGTTCGATGGGGGAGCAGCTGGAGTGTTTTACAGAGAGGCACACACAATCCTACTCATGTGTTAAAAAGATAACTCTGCCCATTGACTGGAGAGTAGATAAGGCTGGAGGTAAGATGGTCTGGTTCTAACAGACAACCACAGTAGTCTTGAGGGGAACAATGGCGACTCCAATTGGGGTGGTAGCAGTGGAGGTGTTTGGCAATTCACTGTTTGTGTTAGAGGCCAAGTTAATAGGATTTCCTCATGAACTGAAGTTGGGGAGTAGTAACAGCATGTCTTCTTCCTTTAGTCTGAGAGGTTAGGTGTGTGTTCAGATGATGAGAACATGGCCGAATTAAAAATGTCACTATAATGTTGTGTTAATAAATAAAAATTGGAGAATAAAAATGCCTTTTCCAGTCATGGCAGCTTAAGCCTATAAGTTCAGCACTCAAGAGACTGAGGTAGTAGAGTGCCATGAGTTCAAGACCAGCTTAGGTCACTTAGTGAATTCCAGGCCAGAGTGGGCTACAGAGAAAAACTGTTTTCAAACAATGATAACTAAACACATGGTATTTAAGAGAGTAAATGCGAAGAACCAACATTCTTGGAGTGAATTATTAAAGTCCCCAGAGGGATAGCTAGGGCAGGGGCCCAGGAACCACAGCACCAGAGAACTGAAGTTTGGGCCCTAAGAAGGATCCACATTGTGGGATGCAGAACAGCTTTGCAAGTTCTGGGAGAGAAAGGAGACAGATGAGCACACTTTGGGGGCTGTTTCTGTTGCTCCACAAGGGTGCTGGCTTCTTTAGCTTGCCTTGTTCACGCACCTGCAACTCTCACATAGTAAGTGCGTGTTGTGAGAGGGTTTGGAGCAGGGAAGCAGAGGAGCTTCTACACCCTCGATGAAAGAGGGGTACTTTACTGGGGAGCATCGTCTTTTCTGAGAGTTTCTCTCCCAGTTTTGGGAGGAGTGGAAGTGGAGGTTGAGAAAGGAAGAGGACACATTGCCAAGCCCACCATATCAGCCCAACCAATGCTGGCGATGGATGTGGTGACAGACGTCACAGCCAAATCCATCTCATGCCTTGAGACTGTGTTTTGTATCTATTCTTTGGCTCTGGACTTCGTGGTAAAGTCTGTATGGCATGGTATGAATTTGACCTTTTTCAAATGGATGGAAGCATCTTCGCTTTGGCCTTTGGGAGCCCTCCATAAGTAGATTTGGGATAATGTCTAGCTTGTCTGTGGATGGAATGGTGGGAGGGGCCTGTGCCTATTCATGGGTGATGATTATGCACCTCGTCATTATAGGGAAGAACAAAGAAAGTAGGTTTATCCAGGGGTCTTTAGTGCTTTGCTGTACGCTGCGTTTTGGATCTAGGGATTTTTTTTTTAAATCACTTTTCTGTTCTTGATCATACACTGTCAAGACTAATTTTATGTATTATTTTGGCTGGGCTTTAGTGTTTGGATATGTAATCAAATATTGTTTGCACTGCCATTGTGAAGGTATACTGGGATGAGGTTTACACTTAAGTCTGTGGACTAAGTGATGCAGGTTTGTCTTCCCCCATGTGAGTCAGTGGACCTCAACGAGTCAGTGGAAAGCCCCCAAAGATGAAGTCAGACCTTCCCCTGAATGTGAGGGCAGCCTCGGATTACAACTGTTTCCCAGGCTTTTCTCCAGATCTCTGGTCACCCAGACTACCCTGTGAACTTTAAACTCGTCAGCTTTTACAACTTAATGAACTGACTCCTTAAAACCAACCCTCTCCTAACATACATGTTTTATTATTTCTTCTCTGGAGAACACTAACATAAATGACATTTCTTCTGTGTTGATGTACATACATGCCACTGTAGAGGCTTAGTGGCTAGATACCATTTTGGGTGGTCTAGAGAATAATTTATAGTAGCAATATTTTTAGTGTTGAATGAGTGAGTTTATTAAATAACATACACGAGAGAGAGAGAGAGAGAGAGAGAGAGAGAGAGAGAGAGCATGAGGGAGCAAAATATCATCAAATCAGAAACTCAAGACATCCAGTAGAAACTGGCTAGGGAAGTCACTTTAAGGCAGCCAGCTGGAGTCTCCAGTAGAGACAGTGTGGCGCAGAGCAGAGTGTCCCCTGGGTGAGACTTCGCAGTAAAAGAATGAACAGCAGGAAGGTAATATTAATTTGAGGGCTTATAAACACCCAGTAAAATCCACTGGGAAAGCTGAGGCAGTCGGCTGGAGCTCTCAAGTGAGATTCTCTCCATGACTAATCTTACTGTGGCCAGTTTCTCTTCCTTACAGTAGGCACGATATTATGGGGTAAATATTATTAACACCTGTTGGAAATAGCTCACCTTCTACTGGTCCTCAAAGACATGGTGTTTTTACTTGCGGCCGTCTTTTGTTCTCCTCCCACGCTATGACAGGTGAGGCGGGGCAGCCCATCCCCAGACTTCACAGAACACTTTGAGACAAACATGCTTGGGTGTGAAGCTGGTGGGCAGCTCCTGCTCCAGAGTAAGCTTTATCAGTGAGCTCAGACAACGCAGGACTGTTTGTTAATACAATGTACGGGCACATACAAAGACATTTAGTCCATCAGTTGCTACTAAATAAGGACCTGGCATCTATAGATAACGAAGACCACCGCCAAGTGCTCCTTTGCCAATGATGTCACGTCTGGGACGTCTCATACGTTCTTCAGAGGATTTGGGTAGGGGGCATAATCTGTCCCCATCCCCCTTGGATGCACACCCTCCACTGGAGGCCAGGCTTCTGCATTCTGGGGAAGAATCTCTTAGTGAATTTCCCGCTTCATCCCCTCAGTCTCCCCCTCTTTCCCGGTACTTTATAAATGCATTTTTTCAATTGAGAAAAGGAAAAAAAAAGTTTCCGCCTCCTCCCAGCCTCCCATTTCCCTCCCCCTTCTCCCACCCTTTTCCCCCTCCCCCCACTCTTCTCCCCCTCCCCCCACTCCTCTTCCCCTCCCTCTCCAATCCAAAGAGCAGTCAGGGTTCCCTGCCCTGTGGAAAGTCCAAGGTCCTCCCCCCTCCCTCCATGTCTAGGAAGGTGAACATCCAAACTGGCTAGGCTCCCACCAAGCCGGAACATGAAGTAGGATCAAAACCCCTTGCCATTGACCTTGGCT